GGTGAAGATTCTGTGAGCTATCCCATCCACCCTGTGGGAGCTTAATAAATGGGCCCTGCACTGCATCAAGGGTAAACTGAGGCTCAGGGAGTCATGGAGCCAGGACACAAGTGCTTGCCCCCTGCACAAGAGGGAGGCTCCCACTTCCATTTTTTTTTTTTTGGTGGGACTGGGGTTTGAACTCACTACTTTGTACTTGTAAAGTAGGCGCTCTACTGCTTGAGCCATGCTTCCAGTCCATTTTGCTTTGGTTATTTTGGACATGAACTATTTGCTGAAGCTCTCCTTGAACCAGATTCTCTTGATCTCAGCCTCCTAAGTAGCTAGGATTACAGGCATGAGCCACCAGGGACCCTGGCTCTCCCTTCCCCTTTCATTGAGGTTTTTCTCTTCCTATCTGCTGAGCTGGCTGCAACTGGGGGGTGGGGTGCAGACCAGGGACCCCTCCATCTGGAGGGAGGAGGGGTGTGCAGGCTAGAGAGCCCACCATGCAGGAGGCTGGTCTGACAGGAACCTGTAATCACCGCTTTAATGTGATTCTATTAGTTATCGTGACTGTTTTGTGCAGCAGTGTGGAACAAGCTGGCGGATGAACTCCATCAACTCCGAGCCTTCCAGGACTCATCACACCCAGAGCCCAGGATCCAGAGACACTCCACAGCTTACCTGAGGCCACATGCCAAGTGGAAAACTAAACCTGAAACCCATCATTCTAGGCAACCCCATGATGTGTCAGGGTTAAGATGACAAGGCCCCAGAATGGGATGTACCTTAAACAAGCAGAGAGAGTGGGCTTAGTGAGAGGCAGGTAGAACCATAGGGAGCCATGGAAAGTCTCAAAGCAGGGTTAGCAGGGGAATGGAAGAGGCACAGATTTGGATGGGAGGATCCCAGGACCCCATTCCTTCACCCCCAGAACCCCCTGCTGCCCCAAGACCTCTCCCTCCCTCTGCATTCAATTCTGCTCATCCACAATGCCCTCTCAATCAGTTCTGGGGCAGGAGGCTCACTCCCTCAGTAGGCCCTCCCCATCTCTGTGGGTGATTACAGCCTCCGCAAGCTGCCTCTCATCCTTGCTCATTTCCCACATTAGCCTGGGGCACCCACAGAGCAGGGCCATCGAGAGGCTCTCTGCCCCAGTGTTCTTGGTTGCCAATGGAAGAAATCAACTGGATTGAGCAAAGAAGGGATTTTTATTGGCCCTCTAAATGAAATGGTATGCAGTCATAGACTTCAGGTATGGCTGGATCCAAGTGCCTACCTTAGATGTGACCTCATCTCTTAGCTCTGCTATTCCTTTCACAGGCTCTACTCTGAAGGATAGGAATCATCTGTGATTTGCAACAAATTAGGAGCCTTCTGTCTGTGGTGACCTGGATGCCCATGGCCTTTTGAGGGCAGGAAGGATCAAATGGTAGCCAGACTGGGAGGGGAGAGTGCCATCACACAAAATCATGTGGCCCTAAGCACTCAGTGGCACCATGGACACTGAAGTGCAGAGAGAAGAGTCATTCTGCTTGGATCAATACCACCAGGCAGAGCAGGACACAGGCTGGGCTCACACAGGGTATAGACATGGCTTGGGGGGCAGTCTGTGGAGGGGCTCTGGGGCCAGGCCCAAAGGCACAGTCAGAGACAAAGAAGTGAGGAGCTCATATAAACGGGGTGAGGGGAGGGATTGCATTGTGGCCTTCAGGTGATCTGAGAACTGGGGGCACCACAGACACAAGCATACAGTGGCACCTAGGTGCATTCACATGTTACACATGGACACACAAGTGCATAGGTGCACATAGAAATGCACGCACATAGGCACACATGTGAGTACACACCTGGTCACACAGGCACAGGCCCAGAGCCCACAAGGCACTCATGTGGCTACCCAGTCTCCATTGTACACTGGCACGCACAATACACAAACACACACATACATCACACACACAGGCACAGGGTGACAGTGTGCACTTTCCTGGCACACATGTGTTCACAGATGCAATCAAACACTCCCATACACACACAGGTGGCCCAAGAATGAGCGACTGGTGGGAAGAACAGAAGCTTGGTTGCCCTGGCAACACATCCTAAGACCCACTGGGCCTCATCAGCATGGCAGGTGGGCAGCAGGTGAGGGGCTGCTCAGGACCCCAACCCTACCAGACAGTTCCTGGTGGCTTCTTGAGGGACTTAATGGTCTGAGCTCTAGGGGATAGTGAGCAAAAAGCCCAGCTTGCAGTTAGAGAGGGACACGGGGTCCTGTCTTGAGAGGTCAGAGGAGACACAAGGTGCTATCCTGAAGAGTCAGAGAGCAACATGGAGTCCTATTCTAGGGGTTCAGAAGGGACACAGGATCCTGTCCTGAGTGGTCAGAAGAGACATGGGGCCCTGTTTTGAGGGGTCCAAGGGGAGACAGGGCCCTGGGTGGACAGTTGGGTCACAGCCTATCCTGAAAGTGTCAGAAGACACCTACTCAGGTTGGTGCTGGTGGATCCCCTCAATCTGAGGAGCCATGCAGTCAGGAAGGGTAGGCCCTGCTCAATCCTGTCCTATGGCCCAACACTCCCCTCTCTGACCCTGCAACCTCTGTACCTCCCTTTCCTCCCCCCATCCATAAAGGGACTGTGGCAGGTGGAGCAGAACTGCAGCCGACCCTAGCGACATATCTCACCCATGCACCCTGGCAAGATTCCCGCAAGGGGATGACGAGTAGCTAGGACCTTCACCGTGCTCATCTTGGCACTCTGCCGACATGGTTCTCCACTTACTCACCCCCCACATTCAGTGCCTCTGGGTGCCCTGTACAAAGAGGAGATCTGGGGACTCTTGGGGACCCAAGAGACCCTGTTGTCAGAGACAGAAATCCTCACAAGCTGATGGAGCAGGCTGAGGTGGGATGCAGAGAAAAGGACATTCCCACCATCCCTGCCTAAGTCTGAAGCGAAGCCCACAGATCAGGAGCCCCGATGCTGGTCTGGACCTCCTGGTCATGCCACAGGATAGACCAGGGCTGGCTCCAGTCTGATTGGGGGCTACTCCTTTTTGGCAGCTGATGGCATCTGAGGGTCCCCAAATGGGAAAGGCCCCAAAGGGGCAGAAGACAGGGACAGCTCTCTCCTGGGGCTCCACTCCCGCTCTGGCTGGGAGGGTCTGTTTGTGACAAAGTCCCGGGCTTCCTGCACCTCCCAGGGTATGGATGGTCCCTGTTCTGTGGGCTGCTGTGAAAAAAGCCAAGGGAGGGCTGTGACAGTGCCCAGCACCCAGATCTGCTGAATAAGTGGTAGCCATTTGTCATACAACAGGGCTGGGGTCTCCCTACTGCCCTGCCTCCATCCCAGACAGCAGAGGACTAGCAGCATCTGAACATGTGAAAAAGGATTTCCCAGTCCCAGGCTCCCCACACGCCTCCCCTAGATTCAAGGCAAAACTCTCTTGTTGCTAAACAGCAAAGCAAGCTGACCTCCACCCCCACATTCCTGAAACACCTTTATTGCACTAAAAACAGCATTTATAAACAATCACATTTGGGGGGAGGTATCCTAAAGATTTATCCACAGTCAACTTCAAACACAAAGATATCAAACAGTGCAGGGGTACGTATACAAAATGGGTACCCCTAGGGAGAACAGGGAATGAGAGAGATCAGAATCAGAGAACAGGGGAGGCTGTCCATGTAGCCAACTCCATGCAGGACCTGTCTGCCATTGCCCCCAGCCTCACAAGTCCAAGCCCTGAGTGCTTCCCAGGTTCCAGAGAAAACAGGGACCAGGCACTGGATTGGGGCCCAGCTCCAAAGTGCCCCTCATTCTGCACCTCAAGGGAATACAGTTGTGTCTTGCAGACCTTCAGCAAGTGGCACAGGCTCCCTCAAATCCTGGGGTCAGCTCCTGCACCCCTCCCTGGTGGGACTAGGGCATCTGAAGTCAAGAGGGACAAAGCTGGCAAAGGGGGTGACAGCCAAAGAAGGGGCATCCAGGGTCCCATCGAAGTGCCTTGGTCCATCTGCACCCTGCAGGATGCTTCGACTTGTACAGTTTATGGAAAGCCCACAGTAGTAAGTTAAGGACCCACGTAATCACCACAAGGATGAACCCATGCACTTCCCAGCTGCACAAGAAGCCATAACCAGGACCCCTGGTCTGCCCCTCAGTGATGCCACCCACCCACCACAACCAAATCCTTTTACCATGTGTGGAGCATGGAGCATGGAGCATGGAGCGGGGGTTACACTGGCCAAGAGTGCTGGCTAGGAAGGCAGACGGGTGGCTCTGAGGAGTAGGGAAGGGGGACACAAGCAGGAAGCTACACAAGCCCCTGCAACGAGTGAGGTTCCAGACAGCCAGCAGGAGTGGCTAGACAGGCCTGCAGCTGAAAAGCAACAGACCACGGAGAAGGCGTGGAGGAAACGCCTCCCTCAGCAACACGTTCCTCTCTTCTAAGACTTTCTTGCTCCACCTTGACGCTATGCTTGCTCTTCCCACTCCACCTGCCAGGTGTGCAGCTCCAGATGCAATGGCAATGGGGAGCTCTGGAAGTCAGGGCTGCCCAGAACCAGCCGAACAGGGGAAGGGGACCTCCTGCAGCCTGGGGGATGTCACAGGCAGAATGTGGTGTCACCAAGAGGCTCTGAGGGCATCTGGACAGAGCAGGGTGGCAGCAAGGATGTGGGAGAAGACAACATCCATGCAGCTAAGGAAAAGGTTGAGCCCAGTCCAGTACTCGCGACACGGACATGATCCCTGGGCCCCTGAGAACCTCTCCACCATGCCACATGGAAGGGTGAGGCAGTATTCAGGGCCAACAGGGCCCTTTCTCTGCCCCAGCAGCCCATCTTCCTCCAGAAAGATCAATTCATGGAAAAGAACATTCCAGTGACCCAGGAAAGCCCCAGAGCCAAGCCCAGCCTGAGTTAAGCCCACCTCCCCACCTGGCCCCCAGTGGCTGACTTGCCCTCCACACCCCACATAGAGGGGAAACTGGGTTCCCCCTACCCCCTTCATCTGGCCTTACAGGAAGGGGAGCAGGGAGGTGAGGGGCAACTCCTTCTCTCCAAGCAGCGTGTCCCGCTTCAGGCTGCTGCCCTTGTTGACCACCTTAATCCTGAGGGCCAGCTTCCGGACACTGGCCGGCCCCAGGCCGTCAAAGAAGAAGTCCTCATTGAAGACAGGGTGGCGGCTGTTCTTGATGATGGTGCTGCGCTGCTTCTGTAGCTTGCCGGGCACCAGGCACAGCCCCACGCAGCAGTTAATACTGCGCGCATCACAGGGCCGCTCATACAGACCCTCGGCGGCCAGCAGGCGCACCCGCAGACGGGCCTGGGCCGCCTCATACTCGGCCAGCAGCCGTACACTGCCCCTCAGGCCCATCCGAACCGTGTGCTCCCCACGAGGCACCTGGCCTGACTCAGGGCCTGGTTCTGGGGTCGCCCGGCGGGTCAGTCGGCGCCGGACTCCAGGGCTGGTGTCGGTGTGCTGTCATCAGCCGACAGGGAGCCATGTCGGCCCACTGAGTGCTTGAGCTGGCTCACTTTGGCCTGGCTGTCCTGGGCGAAGCCTTTGAGCAGTGACACAGAACGTGAGAGCAGAGGGGACCCGAATGGGGAGGATTCGGCGGAGGACCCTGTGTCACTCTCTCCACCACTAAAGTAGCGCCCAGGGCTCATGAGGCCACCCCCAGCCTCCCGGGACCCCCCATCACTACCATTGGCCTTGGCACCTGCCCGCCTACGCCCAGTACCTGGGGAGCCCACCTGGGCCAGGGCCCCGTGCTCACTGTGGAAAAGGGACTCCTTGCGCCGCGTGTGGGGGCTCTCAGCCAGTGTGGCAAAACCATAGGATGTCTGGGCCTTGGGTACAGAGGGCAAAGACATGGCACCTTGGGACTGGGGGTCAGCATTGGTGGCTTCCTCAGCCGGCCAGTCCTCAGCACTCTCTATCTGGATGACGTGCCGTGTGGCTGCCTTCAGCAGGCTTCTGCTCTCAGCAGCCAGCTTGGCAGGTAGCCGGGGGCTTCGGGGCGCTCGGCGGGGCGCAGCTGATGCCAGGTTCTGTTCCGATGTGGAAGGGCCCAGCTCGGCCTGCCCCTCGGCCTCAGTGGGGCCAGAAGGCAGCTTGGGGGGGATGAAGAAGTCAGGGATCTTGTCCGGTGTCAGCACATTGCTATACAGAGGCCCCTTGGAGGCCCTGTCCCCGACCTCGCCCCCCAGACCCCGGCCAGCTCCATTCTCCCCAGACCCCCGAAGCCGCTCCAAGAACCACATGTTGGTTTTTCTCATGGGGGCGGCAGGCAGGAGGCCAGGGAAGGGGCAGCAGTGCCCTGGAAGAGAAGCAGGAGTCAGGGGCAGGCCCCCATCCAGGGGGCGGTTACCTGTCAGGGCCCTAGCCAGTAGGGATGGTGGAGGGTCACTCTGGGGGTGTCCCCATCTCTGAGGCCCTCAACAGGGGTATTGGGTTCCTCTTCCCAGAGGGGTGGGCTCAACTTCTGAGCGCCAGCTGAAGAAGGTGGGGGCTGCTGACTCGGGGTTGCTCCCAGAATGCAGCCCCCTCCCGCCCAGCCTAGCCTGAGGATCTCAGCGCGCTTTCTAAAGGGTTCCTTGCTCAGTCCCCAGAGAAGACACGGGGTGTGGGTAGCCCCAGGTGTCCCGGCCCCGCCCCCAGCTGCCACCCACCTGTGGCTTCTCCCGGATGCCGCGCGCAGCGGAGTGGGGGAGGAGGGCAGCGGATCTGGGGTCGCTGGCGCAGCGAGCTGGCCGTCGTCCCCTGACTTGCCTGAGGCCTGGGGTCGTGGCGCCCAGGGAATAGCTCTGGGCTCACCTGCCGGCCAGCCGCGGCGGCTCCAGGACGCGCAGAGCTCGACGACAGACCAGGGCGCAGCTTCGAGCCGGCGGCAGTGCCGTATTTCTCCGAGTGCGGGCGCGCGCTCCGCCCCGCGCGCACTCGCGTCCCCGCAGCCCGTGCTGGGCGGGGCCTCCAGCATTGGGTGGGGTGGGGTGGGGCGGGCCAGCACCCGGCTGGGCACAGGGTGGGGCCTCCAGCACCCGGCCTGCTCTGTACCATTTCCGGCCAGTCCTGTTGGATTGTATTTAAAGAGCACCGCAGGCCGCACCTGCTACAGTCCCTCCCCAGCCAGTCCCAACCAATAATAGCAATACTAGCGCACTGGATTATTAGCGAGCTGGCTCCCCGCCTGTGTCTCAACAGCTTCCCCCATCTCTAGTTCCCACCCCAGCCATAGTCTGATTGCTGTCCCCTACTTGTAGAGGAGGGTGGGGGTTTCTCTCAGGAGTAAGGGCCAACCCAGAAGTGATGGGCATCTTCAGTCAAGAGTGGAGGGGACTGCGTCTTTTATGGGCCAGTGTTTACTGAACCTCTATGTGATATGAACCTGGACGCTGGAGACAGCTTGAGGCAGGACGTGGCTCCCAGCCCTCCTGATCCCCTGTGGAAGGGATGCCCACAGGTCAATGATGCAATGGCATGTGTCCATGGCTCCCAGGACAAAATGCTACCAGGGAAATGGAGGGAGGGAGTGGAAGAAGCAACCAACCCAGCTACTGAAGGCATTGAAGTCAGGGCTCAGATTCAAGCCCAGGGCAGCTCTAGAACCAGAAGGCCCCTCCAGGAGCCAGGCCTCTCTTGCCAGCTATTCACATGACCTGCCAGCCTAGCCTTCACTGCTGCCTCACCCCTCAGACTCCCTCTTGCCTCACTTTCCTCTTCTGGAACCCAGGTGACCACTTCCCCAGTCCAGTCTCAGTTTGTGAGGAGCCAGCAAGATACTATATCACCAGGCCCAACTGGTACCCACCGGACACCTGGCACTTTATTGAGTTATTGATAGACAGACACCTCCCATGGTCCAGGAATATCCCCAAGTGGCTTTGTGACCCAAGCTGGGACAGGGCTAGAATGAGTGGCCTCTGGTCCATCAGCTGAGGAGAGGGTACAGGACTCAAGTCCCCTTCCTCCCTCCTCTCCACTCGTCTTGAGAGCCAGGTTGAATGACCTGGTTGAGAGCCAGAGGTTGGAGATCTGTTGTCCACACAGGTACAGGAGGAAGAGACTGTCCCAAAAGGTCCAGCTCAGCTTTGCTCATCCAGCAAACATTGAGCAGGCCCACTTTGTGCTGGGAGCCACCATGAAGAGCACTACAGAGCAACTGTTTGGCTGATGTTCACTGCACCTGCTGGGCCTGGAGTTGCTGGGAAGAAGGATGGTAGAAGTCTTGTTCCTGCAACGTCCCCAAGGCCTTGGACCTGGCATCTTCAGATCCTGGCACTGGGTTCTTCAGTAAATAGTTGCCAGACAAGCCAAGCATGGTAGTTCATGTCTATAATCCTAGCACTCAGGGAGGCAGGAAGATCAGAGTTCAAGGACAGTCTGAGCTACACAGCCAGACCCTGTCTCAAAACAACACAAAAAATTGCCAGACAAATGGGCAAACACACTGCACAACAGGAGCAACGTCCCTAGGAACAGCGCTCTGTCCTGCAGCAGATGCCTCCAGGACTAGGGAGGAGAGCCAAAGCCCTCTGTCCTTTGCACAGTTGGGGATGGGAAGGCCAAAAGGGGCAGTGCCTGGTACTGGGGACAACAGGGCCTCTTCTCCCAGCTGGGGTGAGGGCTAAGCTCACTCTGTGCCAACACCTCTGGATTTTACCTGAGCTGCTCATCTGGGGCTTGAATACTGCACCGATACTTCCCACTGTGTGACTTCAGGCAAAAATCTAAACCTCTCTGTGCCTTAGTCTCAGCGATCCTAAGGAATCAGTCTCTATGTCATAGCGTCAAGGTGAAGAGAGTCCCCAGAGTCCCTGCAAGGTGAGTTTTGGGAGCCATTCTTTCCCAGATGTTCTGCAGGGAACAAGGGCCTCAGTTGGAGTGGTGTTGGCCCAGAAAATTGCCCCTATGCTCCACATCTACCACATCTGGGGGCTTGGAAAGAGGCCCAGGCAAAACATAGCTGGAAATGGGTCTCCACACCTGCCCTGTCAACCTCTGTGAACATTGCCCTGGGGGAGGGAGCCCAGCCCTTCCATCTGGCAGTCAGCACACAGAAAACCTCTGCTTCCCTTTGAGTAGCCTGGGCTGGTAGGGGTATAGCAAGCCCCCAGGACTCTCAACACAGTCTTTCTAAAGCTAGAGGGGAGGCTGCAGGGGCTCACACTGTAGAGGGGGTGTAGGTGGTATCAAGCAGGCCTTACTGACCCTGAGTCTTGCCATTTCATGCTAGGTGGGCCTCAGCCCCAGTCCCAGGTGGGAGCCAGCAGGAGGGAGGCCCAGCAGCCTCCAGCACAGGCTCAGGCACAGGCACTTAAAGAGCCGAAACCCAGAGCCCAGGGGCCAGAGACCCAGAACCAGTCCAAGAGGAGGCCACATGTGCCCATGCAGCTCTGGCAGAGACAGTCTCTCCCTCAGAACAGGAGTAAGTGGCCACAGGGCCCTTAGAAATGGGCCTGTCTGCACAGTCCCAAGAAGGGCCCAACTGGCTCCCACCACACAGCTTCCGTGCTTACCTTCTGCCCAGCGCAGGGCAGATGCTCCATCAGTGACAGCATCTACCTTCTGCATGGCCTCCTGCCCCCGTCAAGGGATCACCAGCACTTCAGGGAGAGGAGGGGTGGACCTTGTCCAGGTTGCACAGAAGCCATATTTGAACTAAGGATTCTCCTGAACCCATCCCATATCTTCCCCAGTGCAAGGTTGGGACAAGGAGTATTTGTTGAACGTAAAGGGGGCAGAGATGGAGGTAGGGTCACCACTGGAGCCAGGCATCTGGGCTTTCTGCTCTTCACTTACATCACCATGGAGACTCCCAGAGTCTCCCAGTTCAGCAGGCATGGCAAGGAGAGAGATGGAGCTGGGTGGGCTCTGCCCACCTTTCAGTGTGTGGTCTTGCATGGTTCCCTGCTCTCCCAGCCTCTGCCTACTCATCTGTAAAGTGGGGAGAATTTGAGCAGCTGAGCTCATACAGGTGTTGGCCTATGACCAAACAGGGTGCCAGACACATGGTCTCCAAAAACAACAGGGTGGGAAGCAGGGAGTCTTAGAGGACTCGGGGCTATGAATGAATAAATTCATGAACTAATGGGATGGATTAGGCCCCTCTCTGCCCCACGTCTCCAGTATATGATATACTTGACACTTCCCTTTTTGGGACCCCAGTGCCTTCTCTTGGCCCTGCCCCTCCCACCTGAGAGTCTCTTCTCATTGGGATGCACACTTGTCATCCCTGTGCTTAAGAGAACCGGATTTCAACAACCAGCACCAAATCCTGTGTCCTCCACTTCTGGACCCTCTACTCCTGGACCCTCCGATCATACCTCCAGCCACGCTGGCTGCCCTTTTCCCTGAGTGTGCCAGCCCCATGTACCACAGGGCTTTTGCACATGCAGTCTACTCTGTCCAGAACTCTAACCCACTCACCTGAGGCTCTCCCACTCACCCTTAGATCACAGCCCCTGTGTTATCCCCACAAAGATGTCCTCCAGATTTCCTAGGATCTCTGAGTTCCAGGACTCTCTCACAGTTGTTATTATACATTTAATGGTGATTTGCTAATCAATGACAGTTGACTGTTAACTCCACAAGGGCAGGTCTGCCTTTGGCACTGTTGCATCTCTGTTGCCCACCAGAAGTCCTGGCAGATAACTGTGCTCGGTGCAGGCATGTTGAAGGATGTTGACTGGATGGAAGGATGGATGGATGGATGGACGGATGGATGGACGGATGGATGGATGGATGGATGAGTGGTGGATGGTGGATGAGTGGATGGTGGATTAATGATGGGTGGGTGGATGTGTGGATGGATGAGTGGATGGACTGATGGGTGGATGGATGGATGCATGCATGCATGCATGGATGGATGAGTTAGCGATGGGTGGATGGATGGTGGATAGATTGGTGGCTCTCAGTCTCCATGTGTTTGAAGTAAGAAACAGCATCAAAATCCCCCTTAGCTCTGCATTTGAAAGCATCACTAGTTCAAGGGCCAACCAGGATTTTTATTCGCCACAACTTCCCCAGACACATCCCCCAGGAGATAGGGCAGAAAAGCACAGTCCCTTCCCAGGGGTCCAGGCCTGAGTAGCCTCAGCCCTTAGCTGTGGCCCAGCAGGATGTGGAGAGGGTCTAGGACTCTCTGGGAGTGATGCCACTGTGTGTGAGGAATCTGACAAGAGTCCTGTGGCGGGGGGGGGTTCCCTGGGAGACAAAAGCCTGGAGATAACATAAGAAAGGCCTGTAGCACAGAATCAGAGCACTTGAATGGAGCTGGTCTGAGTTAGGGATCTCGAAGGTGTCAGGGTGTCGAGGGGCACTAAGACGTTGAACTACACTGAAGACAGGTGGGGGTGCTTAAGAAGGGGGAGGGGGGTCTTGGGAGAGGTCTGCAGCATGTGGAAGGTAGTTCATGTGTCTCCACAGAGGAGCTAGGGGTGAACTCTATAGAAATGCTGAAGCTCATTTTATCTTGGAATAAAATCAGAGGTGTCTGAGACAGTTAAAGGGGATTCTTGCTAACCCACAATCTCCTCCAACCTCAGGCTTCAATCCACCTTTTCCTCCTCTAGTCCCTGAGGCCAATGAAGGACCTCTGAACCCCTCCTTGGCTGTCACCTGGGAGCCTCATCCTTGCTCCTCAGCCCTACCAGGACCCCTAAATGTGCAGGTGGCTCAAGCTCAGTGCTGTGTCATCCCCAGGTTTAATTATAGAGTCCAATGTCCAGTTGGTTCAACAGCTGGGAGGCAGCTGGTGGCACACCCTGGTGTCCTTCCTCCTGTTCCCAGGGGGGCAGGGCCACACAACTGCCCTGCATCAACTCACCTGGACACCTCCACCACCCCAAGTGGTGCTCCCAAGACTGCCCCCATGCCAAGGTCAGCATGTAGCTAAGACCCCAAAGCACCTTAATTCCCCTCAAAGACAACAGTGCACCCAGCCTGTCAGGTGGAAAAAATGGAGCCCAGACAGGGAAGGAGTCTACATCCACACAAGGCTGGGTACCCTCCATTCCTGGGACACAACCTGAGTCCAGCTGAGAGGACACAGTGCCTCTCTGGCCCCATTAGGGACCTGTGGCCAGGTCTCCACACAGAGGCTGCATTTTGATGTATTTTCTTTAAAGACGAGGTCTGTCTTTGGTATGAGCGCCTTTGCTCCAGCAAGTGGGGTGGACACCACTGGCCCTGCCCAGCCCAGGGCAGCTGGAGGAAGGAAGATTCCCGAGGCTCTTGTGGAGTAAGGAGAGACAGTGGCTGTTCCAGTTCTGGTGGTTCTGGGCTGACGGGGTCCAAGAGAAAGGCTGAGAGCCACAAGGCCACAGCACGGGTATCTCGGGGGCAGAAGCCAGGCTAAGGACAGTAACCTGTGGGCAGAAGGAAAGGTGAGGTTGGGTTACCACAATAGCAACCACATACCTGAGTCCAAGCCTCAGCCGTACTTCTGCCTCCTTTGAACAAGAAGGGCCTCGATCTCCATGTTACAGCCACTCAGGGTCTCTCAGCAACCAGAGCTCCAGTCCTGCTGTGTGCCCCAGGGCGGTGCCTCAGCCTCTCTGTGCAAACCCAGATGCTAACCCCAGTGCCTGTCTCAGCACTGTCAGTAGATGTGGAGCAGATGTCATGACTGCCCCGAGTGTTATTTCTCAGCTCACAAACCCCTTTGGGGATAGAATGAATGTCTGTCTAGCATGGACAGACGCACAGGCCCAGCATCACATAGATAGATGTCTGCGGGAGTTCATAGGGCCACCCTCTAAATCACTGAAGCCCCTCCCCAGACAGAGAGGCCCTGCCCGAAGCCCCAGGAGTTAGCCAAGCTGGGTTGGGGAGGGCAATGCAGAAGAGGGGCAGGGAGAAGACGTTGTCATGGGGACAGGAGAGCAACCTGACCTAGCCAGCAACTCCCAGGAAAAATCCATACCCCCTGCAGCTCTGTCCCAGACCAACCCCACTCCCAATTCCAGCTGCTCCCTCCTGCCTTCCCCCCTCCACAGCCTCATTCCTCCTCCTGCACTGCCCAGCCCCCCCTCACCCCAAGAGACCCTGGAGTCACCATGTGTCAAACCCTCCCTCGGGTCTCTAGTACCACCAGTCAGAGACTGTGCTGAACTACTTCCCTTTCCCTCACACACCAGCCCCTGCCTGCCCCAGCTGGCCTCTCCAGGAAGGAAGCCAGCTGCCTAGAACCCAGCGGTGGTCATAAATATTCAGGTGACTTTGATCACCAGTCAATCATACGGTCACCATGAGGCTCAGGAATTCCACTCCTAGGAACATGCCCACCCACAAGCAGCAGGAACCCACGTCCACACAGAAACCTGCTCACGCAGGCTCACAGCATCCAAAACACGGAAACAGCCCCAGTATCCATGGATGGATGAGTGGACACACAACATGGTCTATCCACACGCTAGAACATCACTCAGCCACAAACAAGAGGAGGCTCTGGCACACCGCACAATGTGGAGGGTCCTCAAGTGCTCAGTGGGAGAAGCAGATACACAGGCCACAGTGCGACTCTATTGCTAGGAAACGTCAGCACAGGCGAATCCAGAGACAGGACGTGAATTTGTGGGTGCTGGGGTCTAAGGAGTGCTGGAGTGATTGTTCATAGGTACAGGCCTTCCTTTGAGGTGGTGGAATGTTCTAGAGTTAGGCTGTGGTAATGGTTGCACAACTCTGAATGTGGCAAAACACACTGACCATACAATGAATGGATGATCTGCAGGCTGTGTGAATTGCACCTCAATTTTTAAACGCCAGAAGAAATCGGTCTGTGGGTAAATGGCAGGTACCACAGCCATCCAATTACACACCTGGCTCAGGGCTCCCGTGAGACCACGCCACGCAGATGCAACTCACTCTCAGCGGCCACGATGGGCTGCCCATTCTGCAGATGGTAGTCAATGAGGTGGCTGATGCTCTCAAATAGCACATCCTTGGTCCGCACCTGTGAGATAGCATGAATACCCTCCGGAGCTCGTCCAGAGGCCAACTCTCTACCCACCCAGACTGCTGAGTGGAACCCGTTTCAGCAACCCTCTGGGTGACTGGCAGGTGGCAAGTCAGGGCCTCTGGGACAGAGGACTCCACTACAGAATCTGCCACAGGTTCTGCCTCACACATCTATAATCCCAGCACTCTGAGAGGCTGAGGCAGAAAGATCAAGAGTTGAGGTCAGCCTGGGCTGTATAGTGAGACCCTGTCTCAAAAAAAGAAAAGTCCAGAACTGTGGATGGGCCCAGTTTGAAACCACCAGAGGCACGTACCACATGTCCTGTAGTGGCCTCCATAAAGGGACATCCAAGCCAGGTACCATGGCTCATGCCTATAATCCTACCTTCTTGGGAGGCTGAGATCAGGAGGATCACTGTTCAAAACCAATCAGAGCAAAAAGTTTCTCGAGACCTCCATCTCCAAAATAACCAAAGCAAAATGGACTGAAGGTGTGGCTCAAGTAGTAGAGTGCCTGCTTTGCAAGCACAAAGACCTGAGTTCAAACCCCAGTCCCACCAAAAAAAAAAAAAGAGGATGTCCATGTTCTAACCCTGGTACCCGTGAATATGACCTTAGTGAAAAAAAACAGGTCTTTATAGATATAAACCAGTTAAGTATCTCAAGACGAGAGCTATGAACTATCCAGATGGACCTAAATCCAATGTCAGTGTCCTCATCAGAAGAGGAAAATTTAGACTCAGGAGCACACAGAGAAAGCCACATGAACACAGAGACAGAGACAGAGCCATGTCTGCAGGCCAAACACAAAGGATCACAGGCAGTCACTAGACTCTGGCAGAGGACTCAAAAGGACCAGCCCTGCCCACACCTTGACCTTGGACTTCTGACCTCTAGAACTGAGAAAGGATAAATCTCAGCCGGGTGTGGTAGTGAACACCTATAACCCCACTTACTCATGAGACTGAGGAAGGAGGATGGCAAGTTCAAGGCCAGCCTCTGTCTCAGAATAAAGGACTGCAGATGTGGCTCAGCAGTGGAGCATTTGCCTAGCATATTCCAAGGTCCTGAGTTCAATCTCTAGTACCAAAAAAAATAATAATTAAATTAAAATAAAATAAACAAATCTTAGTTGTTATAAACCATATCATTTGTGGTCATTTGGTACAGCAGCCCCAGGGAACCAGTATAACATGAAATCTTGGAGGTATACACCCCAAACTCAGAAAACAATAGCATCTTTTTTGTTTTGTTCTTTGCTCCTGGGTTTTGCTAGGCAGGGTTTGCTGCAGCACCTAGAACTTGCTAGGCAGGCACTCTAACCACCTGAATCGTGCCCCAGCCCTTTGTTACTTTATTTTTCAGGTAGAGTCTCATGATTTTCACCCAGGGAGGCCTAAGCCCACAATCCTCCAGATCTTCACCTCCAGAGTAACTGGGGTTATAGCTGTGAGCTACCATGCCCAGTCCATCTGCATTTTAGAATGGGAAAATATTAGCAGCACTGGGCTGGAGAACTGGATGCAAAACCGAGATACCCTCTAACCCATGGCTTCTGATCCCTCCATGGAGGATGCTGCTCATTGGAAACGCAGGTTAAATACACATCCCTGGGCTCTGGTGACAGAATCATCTACTTCCATGGCCCTGGGGCTGGGGCAAGGGAATCTGCATTTTTCTGGGCTTTTTAATCAGACATGGTTTCTTTAAGGAGCCCAGGCTGGCCTGGGACTTGTCATCCTCCTGCCCTTACTTCCAGAGTGCTGGGATTGCAGGTATGAAAGACCATGCCCAGCTGGAAATCTACATTTTAACAAAGCATCAATTTCTGTAGGTGTTAAAGCCACCAATGGCAGTCCCATTTAGCAGAGAGGGAATGGACCTGGCTAGAACTGGCCTAACCCCTGCCAGGCCCAGCTGAGGCAGCTAAGGAGGATAGGAAGCTGAGGCAGCTCCAGGAGCAGAGGCCTGGCTGGCCACCTGGGCCAGACTGCACATCTCCCTCATGAGTGTGTGCTCTGTACAGAGACATGGGCCCCTCGCAGGCACTAGGGGGTCCAGCTGGATAGGAAAAGCACTTTGAGGTGCTGAGAAGGGTCCAAGTCCCGAGCCCTCCTCACCTATGGGCCTAAGGCCTCTGCACACTAGAAAATGCCTCAAAACCCCTCAGAGTCCTAGAAAACTGGAGAGTGCTTTGTAAATTATAAAGTGCTTCAAAAATGGGAAACTGTTAGGCTCTCACTATATAAGATGCAACAGGCAATTTAGCAAGACCCTGTCTCAAAATAAAACTTAATAAAGGACTGTAGCTATGGCTCAGTAATGGAGCATTTGCAGAGAGGGAATGGGCCCGGTTGGAACTGTAAGATGCACCAGGATACTCTGTGCCAGGAATGGAGGGACTAGAACCCCAGTGAAACAATACAATTGCCTAGAAGCATGAGGCCCCTGAGCTCAATTCCCAGTACTACCAAAGAAGAAAGAGAAACAGGAAAAAACGAGACACAATTGTTAGTTTAAAAAGAAAAAAAAAGAAGATTCCAGCTGGGCATAGTGACTCATGCCTGTAATCCCAGCTATGCAGGGATCAAAAAGATAGAGATTCGAGGACAGCCCAGGCAAAAAGTCAGCAAGACCCCATCTCGATCAATAAGTTGGGCACGGTGGTGCATGTCTGTCATCCCAGCTACAAGGAAAGCATAAATAGGAGGATCACCATCCAAGGCCGACCTAGGCAAAAACACAAGACCTTATCTGAAAAATAACTAAAGCAAAGAAGAGCTGGGGGGCATGGCTCAAGTTGTAGAGCACCTGCCTAGCAAGCATGAGATGGCTCTGAGTTCAATCCCCAGTATTGCCAGGCACCAATGGCTCACGTCTGTAATCCTAGCTACTGAGGAGGCACAGATCAGGAGAATTGTGGTTCCAAGCCAGTCCAAGCAAGGGTCGTGAGACCCTATCTCAAAAATACCCAACACGAAACAGGGCTGGCAGAGTGGCTCTAGTGGTAGAGTGCCTGCTTAGCAAGTGTGAGGTCTTGAGTTCAAACCTCAGCACCACCAAAAAACAAAAAATCCCCAGTACCACCAGGAAAAACAAAAAAAAAAAGATTCCAGAGATGTCAGAATGGGGGAAGGAGACCCATCCTCAAATCAAAATGGTTCAGTAACTTGTAGACCCCCTAAACTCAGGAATCTGAACAGGTTTTGCAACCCCTGAGACACATCAGGACATGGAAAGACAGTATCTATCTATATATCTATCTATCTATCAAGACGGCACTATTTGTGCTACCAATCCTAGTGGTGAGTGCAGGGGAGGGGCTGAAGCTCAAAGCTTTGTGAACCCAGAATGGCCTTGGAATTAGAAGTGCTTTGGTAAATCCCAAAGTGTTTACAGACTGGCAAGTCCTCTAAAACACTAAACTTTAGTTGCCTCTGACAACATAGGGCTTTGTTCTCTAGAAGATGCTCCACAGACCCTAGCAGCCTGTCCCCTCCTCAACCCCCATGCCACCTTACCACTCCCTCAGGATCCACCAGCAACAGGTGCTTGGGCTGCCCAGCGTGCATGCCTGTGAGGACATACTGCCCAGGGTTGGTGACACTGTCGCGCACAAGGAAGTCCCCGTCGGCTCGAAGCAGCTTCTCTGCTGCCCGGCGGCTCATGCGGCCATGGTACCAGGGCTCCTGCCGCAGCTGCTCCTCTGTGGGGGCGATGGGGGCCCGGCGGGTGGGAGGGCTGGGCCACTGATCCTCCAAAGAGAGCTGGGCTGCCATACCACCTGCTGCCACCGAGCACTCGTGCAACTTCAGTGCGTCCTCAAAGGGTCCTGCAAGCCAAGGAGAGGAGGGCTGGGGAAGTTGGGGCCGTGCAATGGGCACCCCAGGATATTTGTGACTGAGCTCAGCCACTAAATACAGCCTGGTATGTTGGCAGGCTTACTGCACCATCAGTGTGTTTATTACTTATTAGCCTTATTAGCTCCCTTAATTGTTCAACACAATCCCTTGGGGTTTCTTTATTCTTTTTTTTGCGGTACTGGGGGTTTGAACTCTGGGTCTCACTCTTGCTAGGCAGCTGCTCTACCACTTGAGCCATTCTGTCAGCCCTGTTTGTATTGAATATTTTCAAGATATAGGGTCTCAAGAACTATTTGCCCAGGCTGACTTTGAACCATGATCTTCCTGATCTCTGCCTCCCACGTAGCTAGGATTATAGGTGAATGCCACCAGCACCCAGGCTCTGGGGTGTCTGAGGATATACAAAGGATGTCAACATTATTTTATTTATTTATTTGTTTGTTTGTCTACTTATTTATTTATTTTGGTGATACTGGGGTTTGAACTCAGGGCTTTGTGCTTGCAAAGCAGGCACTCTACCACTTGAGCCACCCCAGTCCTGCTACCATTTCTTTCTTCCTTATGCCTGTACAAATTACTTTTCCTTATCACACTGGCCTCCTGCCCACATGTGTGTCTCTCGTTTCATTACCTGCACTGACAAGTCCTCAGCATACCACTGCAGCGGGTCCCAGTGGCATGACTGTCCTATACCTAACTTAGTGAAGGTGTTTTTACTGCTCTGGACTTAAGCCTCAGTCTTTCACCATGAATGGAGGCAGAAAGTGGCACAGACAAGACTACTCCAGGACCCGACCCTGATTCACCTGTGATTTGGGGCCTCTGCAGCCTCTGCTAGCTGGGAACATTCCTGCTCACCCAGACCACCAGGCTACCAGCCTGGCCAATCCACACAAGTGTCCTGTTCTCCAGGCTGGAGATTGGCTAAGGGATGAGCACCCCTCCCTGGAGGCCAATTAGAGGCAGTGGCTTGCTTAGGGGATACCCACACAAATAGTTCTCTGCTGAATGTGGGTCCCAGGTTAGCTCCCAGGGGACAGATGACTTCAAAGGGAGCTCACCCCAGCCTGCCTTTCCCTCCTAAGGCCTGCCATGAGGAAGAGGCCATGCTCCTAGTCCAGTGCCTGTACACAGAGGGCGCTCATGTCATTATCACAACAATAAAAAGAAATAGATGGTAGGGGGAATAGGGCTTTGCAAACATTTCAAAGAAGAAATTTCCAGCCATCTGGGAGGCCCTGAGGAGCCAGCACCCCACAGTGTCCAGGGAACAGGTTGCAATCTATGTGGGAAAATAAGGAGAGCATTACGGGTACTTCCCGGAGGAAGGACAACCATCTCCATCAGACAGAGCCATCTTCACACTGGATATCCCATAGGGAAGGAGCGAATGAGCTCCACCATCAGACTAGTCTTCCCTTGTCAGTCTGGGATCTCTCTGGGAGCTACATGTATGTCCCAGGCAACTGGGATTCCCATGGGAAAGGGGTGACCTCCCCACCCAGGCCACTGAGTAACAGGACTCAACAGACCAGCAAGATCTCGAGGCAGACCTCCTCCCTGCAGACTAGACAATGTCTTGAGGCCAGCCTTGGGGAGCCCAGCAGATGGAGCCCCACAGACAAAAGACTAGTCCTCCTCAAACAGAAATCCCATGGGCATAGAGCTTGGCTTCCCAGTGGAGGAAGGACCTCAGCCTCCTCCATCAGACAAGGCATTCAGAAAGGATACTGACCCCATCAGACTTCATTCAGTCCACTGGAAGTAGAGTGGGCTCTCCTGGCCCCTGTGGACTCTCTCCTTAGACCACAGGGTGGCTGGGACACTCTGCAGGGGCCTTACGTACGCATGTCGAACAGGTCCTTCTTGGGGCTGTCCTCAGCCGACAGAGGCACCACGTCCTCGGGCTCCATGGCGTCCAGACCCTGGGTGTTGACATACAGGTGTTCCTCGTAGTCTCTTGGCCCCCGAGGGTCTGCCTGCACGTAGCCGTCTCCAGGCGGGACTAGGAAGTAAGGAGGGCAGTGGGGTCAGCAGGGAGCCCAGCACCTGGGACAAGGCTCTGGGCAGGAGAGCAGGGCCACCAGAGCCCATAACTCCTCTAGGGAGGACAATACTGGTCACCACCCCCCCACAGGCCCCATCAGGAACACCATGCTGAGTGTCTCCCATTCAGAATGAAAATCGGCAGTGTCCCAGCCCAGAGCAGAAGTGGACAAAGTGCTCAGGTAAAGGCTGGGGACACTGGATGTCCACATGAGGAGGAGCAGCACCCGCCCAGCTATCTTCAGGCAGGAGGGGCCAACAGGAGCATCCAGGTACTGAGCGGGCTCAGATGTTTACGTTCAATCCCCACAGTGAAACGGTAATGGCAGCGCTCTGCTTCCCTGTAATTATGTTATCAGCATGATGCACGGTTAGGTCATCCTTCTGTCTCTGCTCTATTTTAGGGCTGGCTTTCCTTTCTTCTTTTTAATTTTATTTTTGAATGTGTAAAGCATTCATGTGGCTCAAAAGCCGTAGCTATATCACAAGGACCGTTGAGAGTCTTCCACTCAGCTTTGACCCTTCCAGATCCTGCCAAGTCCTTGACCAATATGCCTCTGTGGGGTGATGGGTGACCTTGTCCCTTCCACCTCACCCCCATGGACCATCAGACCATCAGACTTTTTGCCGGACTGGTGGATGAGAAATGGCACCTGGGATGATTCAACTTGTGTTTCTCTATTTTGAGAAGGCTGAGCACCTTATCCTGAGTCAGAAGGTATTCGTGTATCTCAGAACTTAATCCCTGGCAGGAAGATGTGCTCCAATGATACACTGTGTGGCCCAATCCAGCCCAGGGTTCTGTGGGTTGTGATGTCTGCTTTATCCGGTTGTATCATGAACTCTCAGGAACATCCAGGCTCCCAGGCTGTGGATGTGGGCAAATTACTTAACCTCTCTGTGCCTCAGTCTCCTCCTCTGCAAAATAGTGAGAGTAAGCTCTTCCTCATAAAATAGCAGTGAGGCCAGGTGTGGTGGTGCATGCGTGTGATCCCAGCACTGGGGAAGCAGAGGCAGGGTGAGGCAGGAGGATCTCCAGTTCCAGGTCACCCTGGGCTAACATAGTAAGATCTGTCTCAAAAGAAGGAGCGGGGGAGGAGGAGAAGGGAGTAGGGAGGGGGAAGAAGGGAAGAGAAGAGAAAAAGAAGATGGAGGATAAAGAGGAGGAGGAAGAAGGAAGAGGAGGAGAAATAAATGTGAGAACAGTGCCCAGCAAGACCTGTGTGGTTGCAGAGCGGAGAGAACCCTAGCCTTCCCATATACCAAGTGGAACCCAGGTCCTCCTGGGCTTGTATCAGGACTATAGGGGATAAGGCAGGGGCACAAACCCAGGCAGTAGGAGAGCAGAGTGGAAGAGAGGACTTGCATGGGGTGGACAGGTGGAAGAATTCCTGCATGTTGGAGCTGAGGCACTGACATATGAGTGGGAGTTCTTGGGAAGAGACTTGGAAGGGGCAGGATAAGAAACATATGCAGAAGCACAGGGGAGGAGTCCCTGGTGAGCCCTGGGGTCAGGGGAAAGCAGCCAGCATCCCAGAGAAAAGGCAAAGCCAGGCCACGGTATACTTGGCACCTTCTGGGCACTCAGTGAGAGGAGTATTCTTTAGCCACAGAGCAGGGAGCTGATGAGCCCTCTGCCACTTGGCAGTGAGAAGCCCATGTTATCTGGGAAAATCTAAATAAATCCCACCAAAGACGTTGGCTAGGCTGAGGGAGACAGGCAGCTGCAGGTAGGTGACCACCAGGCTCACTTTGGAGAGTGGACAACAGCAGCACTGGTAACAGGACCCAGCACTGTGCTGTGCACAAGGGGGAGTTGGGAGATCACAGGCAAGAAACCCCAAGACAGGAAGCAGCACACAGCTGCTCAGAAAACTGCCACACAGCAGGACCCCAACAGTGACCAAGGAAATGAGACAGGATTGGGTGGGCATCCACAGCGTGCACCTCAAGTGTGAAAGTCTCTTTGTGTACCAATTTGTAAAACACCTGAAAGGAAATACAGACATGCCCAAGGGATGTGCTGCCAGGCTGGGCCTCAGAACCTCTGTAACATTTATTCTGTGTGACAGGACATGAAGGCTTGAGAGCCGAAAGTCCAATCCTTCTGTTAGAACAAAAAAAAAACCTCACAGTTTTTAGCAAGAAAGCTGGTGAGAACATGCATGATTTCTACCAAGCAGGTAGGAGTGGCTGCCTACGTGCAAGCCCATGGTTGCTCATTACTCTGCTTGTCACAGCACACCCCTGGAATCTTCGTGAATATCAGGAGCAGGGGTGGGCAAGAGGAATACCACAGAGTCATGGAAAATAATGAGAAGTCTGCAGTGCACTGATGTGAAAAGAATCCACAACAGGGGCGAGTGCAGTGGCTCACATCTATAATCCCAACTACTCAGAAGGTGGAGATCAGAAGGATTACAGTTCAAAAAGTTATTGAGACCCAATCATCAACAAATAAGCCAGGTGTGGTGGTACATGTGGAAGGCATAGGTAGGGGAATCACATTCCAGACCAACCAAGCAAACACATGCGAATCTATCTGAAAAATAACTACAACAACAAAAAAAGGGCTAGAGGCATGGCTTAAGTGGTAGACAGCCTGCCTAGCAAGCTTGAGACTCTGACTTCAACCCCCATCCCATACCATCAAAAAAGAAAAGTCCGTAACAGACTGTCATGTGAGCAAAAGCATTATGCACAGAAAGCCCCCAACCGGAGACAAGAGGAAAGCACAGTAATGCATATTCAAACTGGCTTGAATATTTCACGAATTCTGAAAAATTTCAGAAACCACTGGCTACTAACATGTCTGCTTGGTGGGGCGGGTTGGAGGGAAGCAGCACAGGTGGGCAGAGAAGAGGTCCTCCCTGCATGCAGTTCACACTCCCAGTTTTGAATCACGTGGTACAGAATCTGTCCCCAAATCTAATGACATCATCTGTACAAGTAAAGGAGTGGATGGTTCCACTCACACAGAGCAGGAGGAGCATGAGTAACCTTGGGGGTGAACTGACTATGCAGAGGGGAATGTTGGAGAGACCAGAACGAGTGGGGCCCCACGTCCTGTGAGAGGCTGGGCAAGACCTACCTTGACTGGAGGTACCCAGGTCCCACTGGCCACAGGCGTCTCTTCGTGCAGGACATGCTGCCTGAAAGAGAAGCATGGTGATCCCTGGGTATGTGCAAACTCCATCCCAGCCAGCACCCCAATCTCTATCCCACTCCAAATGGCTGGAGACTTCAGATGGCTGGGAGTTCAGCTCCATGCCCCTCCTGGTTCTCCCCCTCCCTCCTCAAGCCACTTGCAGTGGCCACAGGACTGGAGCCTCTCTCACAGCTGCTGCAGTCTTGGCCTTTTCCTGTGCAAGGCGACTGCCTTCCTGCCAACTGCATAGGATTTTCTCCCTGCTGGTGCCTTTCCTGCTCTGCAGTCCTGGGCAGCTGCTGGTCACTGCCCCATACTATGTCTTGGGGAGGATCCAGACACCCATGTCATTTTCCCCTTAGTCCAAGATCCAGGCGCAGCTGCAGTGGTTTGCTCACTGTCTGAGAGGGACCTGTTTCAGGTGCAGCACTGAACCTGGTGCAGACAGGACAGAGCATGCAGACAGCACCAAGTGTGTCTCAGTGAGCGGAAGGATGACGAGCAAATGGAAGAATGACAGGTGAGCACAGCAATCCCCAGGACTGAGGTGCAAGGGCGTTGGAGGAAAAGCCAGGGTAAGGTCCAGGGCCCTCTACCGCACCCAGCCCCTCAGGGAATGGCAGAGGCTGACCTGTCCGAGGGTCCCAAGGACTGCCAGAGCACATGGCTGTGTGACGGTCAGCCTGGAATCCACCAGCCCGCCCAGGGGCGGCTCCTTTCCCGGGATGCTATTGTAGTAATTGTGCTCCGTGGCCTCCTCCTCGTCCCCCCAGGCTGACTCCTCCAGCCCTGTCAGCCTAAAAGACACAGTAAGGTGTCTAGGGTGAGAACACTGGAGTACCCATTCTGACCCCCCAACCATCAGCCATGCCTTCCCATAACTGGGCCTCTTTCCTCATCTATGAGATGGAAGGTGGTGCCCTGTCCACAGCCTGGCACAAACACCAGAAGGTCCTCAGCCGGGCTGGCCTCTGCTCCCTCCTGTCCACCAGGCAACCCAGGCAGCAACATCCAGTTTGTACTAGAAGCAAATGTCGTGGGTCAGATGGCAACAACCTCAGAGGTAAGATGCCCGCAGAGACAGGATGCCCTCCAGGCCTCGCCTGCCCTTAGAGGGACTTGCTCCACATCCTCATCCCATGCTGCGGCAGATAAGCAGGCTCCTCAGAGTACATAGGGGATGAGACAAGGGAAGACAGAGCAGTCACATAGGGTGCTCTGTGGACAGCAGAAGGCAGGAGCCAACAGCGTCCTGCAACAGCAAGGAAAACGCAGGAACTCACACACCCGTAAATACCCTCCTGCTGCTCCAATTGCCCACCCTGTGCACAGCCTGAACTTTTTTTTTTTAAGTGGCACTAGTGTTTGAATTCTGGGCCTCACACTTGCTAGGTCTGCCCTCTACCACTTGAGTCACTCCTCCAGCCTGTTTTGCTTTTGTTATTTTATAGATAGGGCCTTCAGTTTTTGCCCAGGGCTGGCCTCAGACCTCAATCCTCCTACCTCTGCTCCAATGTAGCTAGGATGGCAGGTGTGAGCCATCACACCCAGCCCATAACCTGAACTTCTGGCAGCTACAGGTACTTAACAGGGCTCTTTCCCTAGAGCTGGGTCAACTCAGGGCCAAACTCAACTCCTGCCGTACGGTTGCACAGGACAAGAAAAAACACTTTCAAATCCTAAAATTTAAGTGGCTGACAAAACACCCTGAGGATAATATTTTGCAACACAGTGAAGTTCAAATTTCAGTGTCTATAAATAAAGTTTTGTGGGCGCCCACCACGTGGAGCTATTTACTTGCATTTTGTGGTGAAATGGAGACTGCTCACAAGACTGAGGATACTAACTGTCTAGCTGGTGCTGGAGCAATGACAGCATCAGTGATGACTGAGGCACTCTGGGGACTTGCTCAGAAGGAGGGGAGGTGGGGGTCCTTCCATGGGTGACATAGGTAACACTTTCAGGGCCCAAGGGGGACAGGCAAAGCTTAGCCCAGGCCCAGTGTGTGAAGCAGAGCTGGCTACCTGGCCTGTCAGATTCTATGTGTCTTTACCTTTCAGGGGGCACAACAGCCTTGGGGGGGCTGTGCAGGTACTGCTTGAAGCGCAACTCAAAGGCTTGGCCCACGGTGCTGATGACGCTCTGGGCAAGGCCCTCACAGCACTCAAGGATATGGCAGGCTGGGGTGAGGGTGGATGACAGCGTCAGATGGTGTCCTTCACTTCCCATCATGGCATCACACCTGCCAACCCCAGCCCTCAGCTCAGACCTCCCACCATGGCTCACCTCTCTGGTTGATTGGGTCCTTGGCAACATAGGCCACGTAATCTGTCATGTCCTGAGGAGAGGGCCGGCGGGAGGGTCAGCGGGGCCTGGCCACTGTCTGGGTCCTGCCCTGCTCCCCAACAGTGGAAGGGGTGGGGGTTGTGGGCAGAGAAGGTGGGGTCTGGGGAAGTCGAGATGGTCTCAAGACTGGAGGAGCAAAGGGCACAGGGCTCCATCCCCACCCCAACCTCAGCCTTACCGTGTCGCCACCCGATGCAAAGGAGATGGACTGCATGTGGTGGTTGGCGATGATCTGTGCTGGCAAGGAGACACACATGGTCACATGTGGTCACACACAGTCACAGAACAAGTCCAAAATGGGGGGCGGAGGGGAGCCCTGCAGTTTGGCCAAGCAGATAGATCAGGCTGCAGGGGGATGGCTGGGGCAGGGACATGACATGGGACCAGAAATGTCCCCCTGCCTGGACCTGACCCTGGGTCAACTAAGATCCAAGAGTTCCACCAGGACCTGGGGCCTAGGGAGGGTACAGCAGGGAGAAAGGTCACACATCCACATATGTGAGAGGACAAACCACTCACAGGGGATATCCTCATGCATGCACCCACCTGAGCTCATACAGACACAGTGACACATCCCAACACACACACAGAGGCAAACACATAGGCAGATGCAACAGACACATATAGACACAGACACACAGTCACATCCACAAGCATGCACAGACACACACAGGCAGGCAGATGCACACAGGCAGACACAAACACACACACACACACACACACACACACACACACATGCAGATACACACACTCAAGCAGCCCACTCCACACTTCCATCTACTGCCAGTGACAACTGTAAGCTCATTTGCATACTTGTTTGAATTTCTTTGTGTGGCCCCACCTCATCTGCCACCTGTCACTCAAGTTCCTCCACAACCCTGTGCCAGAGTCAGACAGGCCACGTGCCCCCCATAAAACATCCATTGCTCAGTGCCCACTACCCTTGAGGCTCTCCATTGCACAACACCCCTGCTGAGGACCCTTGGTGGTCTGACAGGCCACCGCAGGAGTGTCCAGCGTGGCCATCAGGTCACAGCTGCTTTCTAGAGACTGGCTACCCCACCCATCCCCTCACACCAGCCCAGGGATATCTGCCATTACATACAGCGTCCACCCCATACCTCCAGGGCCAGCCCACTGAGCCCCAGCTCCTCCCCTGGTCTCTGCTGCCCTCTCCAGCTGCCTCTCTTAGCTTTTACCCAAGGTGCCTGCCAGGAACCCTCTCCTCTCTTCTCCACTCAGCACCAACCTCTCTGCCTGCAGGAAGCCCTCCAGGATCCCCCTTCTGAGTCACCCATCCCTCACAGGAGCCCTTGCTGTAGCACAGCGGCTCTCTATGTGCACCCTGCCACACAGAAACTCGCAGCCCCAAACTCCTGCTCACTCCCTAGGTGCCCAGCTAAGAAGCTCCCCGCAGACCCTCAATTCCTAAGGCTCCTCATTCTACCCCCCACACCATGTGGCCTCTATGGCAATTTGCCTTATTGCCACCAGTTCCTCAACCCTCTGGGAGCCCGGCCTTGCCCTGTAACTGCAGAGTCCTCCCACTGGAGGAGACAAGCACATTTGTGACAGAATGAGGCCAACTCAGATTGTGCCTGACCGAGGCTGGGCCTGGAGATGCCCAGAGTGGTTCTGCATGCCTTCCTGTGCTCCAGGCTCTAGCATGACAGAGGCCCAAGCCAGGTCTGGCTTGGGATAGTGGAACAGACAGAATCATCAGCCTTCAGCTGAATCAGTGCTCACTGCCCTGCTGCTGCAGTTGGGATTGCTTGTTATTCGATCCATACCATGCTAGCTGACACAACTCCAGCTGAGACTTCTTTGAGTCTCTAACCAGAAAGCCACTCCCAACCAGGTCAAAATGAGAAGTTTAGTGTTCACAGCAGCTGAAACCCAGACTTGCCCCATTCTAAACAAGGCTCCTCCCACAACTTTCTCCAGAACATTCTCTTACCCCACCATGAGTCCCCCAGTAGAGCCTATCCATTGTGCCTCTCAGATCTAGCCTAAGTCTGGCTGTGCTCCCCGAAGATCTAACCATAGCTGCTCTCACCCTGCTCGGCTGCACCCCTGACCCTGCTCTCTGGACACACACCAAACTCATCCTGGTGGCCAGCGCTGACTTCTCCCATAGGAAATGCCTCCTCTCAGCAGCCAGACCTCTGCCCAAGAATCCCTCTCTTCTCCACCTCTAACGAGGGCTCCTCAATGTCCCCTCCAGGACACAGTGTCCTGTTTGTGTCCAACACAGCCTTCTCCTGGCCTCACAATGTTCTCAGAATTCATCAGTGTTCCCTCACTTGTGCAATTCTCACTTGGTTGTTTGTTTCTACCAGAAGACTGGAAGTAGGGGTTCCCCCAACACGAGGCCAGGTCGTTCTCTGGGGCGGGTGTCCTAGGCACTGTAGGGCACTGAATAGCATACCTAGTCTCCACCCACTCCAAGTCCTAATAGGCGTGGGTGGAAATGGCCTGGTCAGCATACCTGCCCTGCACTCCATGAGGGTGCAGTGATGTCCTCTTGGCTCCTGGCTCACAGAAGGGGCCTCAGGATGCATCCATAGTGATGCCTATATGCCACACGCAGCCTGTGCCCTCCGTCCCTTCCCCCATCCCTCCTGGCTCCAACTTGGTATGAAGCAAAGACTGCTAGAGGTCTAAGGGGTTCTGGAGATTCCAGGAGGGGTTCAGGGGTCCCGCAGAGTAGGTGGGAGCTGAGGTGGGGATAGGGTGAGCAGCACCCACCTGGCGTGTGGCAGGCACTGAGAGGTTGAGGCCGTCAATGGATATGTTGACAGAAATGCTCATGCCAGCAAAGCGCAGGTTGCTTTTGCCCAGGACAGAGGCCAGCGCCTTATTGGGGGCCTAGGGGAACAGAGAGCACAGCAAGGAGTTGTGTGTGGTGTGGCTTGTTATGGGGGTGGGGAGCACAAGGGGCTCCCAGGGTGGCCATGGTGCTCCCCCTCCCGATCTCCAAATGCACTCACTAGAGCCCTACTTGAGGCCACAGCCCTCACCCACCTTCTTCTTCCACGAGCCCCGGACACCAGGCACAGCCTCATGGAGCCGGTTGATGGCTTCCCTATGATTGAAGAGGGGGAGGATCAGACAGAGGAAGGGACAGGGAGGGGACAGGGGCTTAGGGAAGGGTTGGAGTCTATGACATGGGTGGGGTTCCAAGAAAGGAGGGCAGAGAGAGGAACAGGGCTGAAAGGGCACAGAAGGTCCTGACATGGGCAGGGGCACCTGGAGGGGACAAGGAGGGCCACAGCTGGGGACACCAGCCCCACCCTTAGCACCTGGCCTTCAGCTCTCTTTCCTTTCCAGTGGCCGTGTGTGCCCAGGAGGGATCAGGCTTGGGGGACTGAACAAAGCAGAGGTCCTCTGCTCTGAGGTCCCCCAATATGGCAGGAACTAATCTCCACAATGCGGGAAGGAGGGGAGCCACTGATTTCCGGGAGGTCAGGACAGGACCCTGAAGGTCGCATGGGCACAAAACAAGCCCTGGAAGATGTCAGTGTCAGGGCAAGAGCCTGAGGTGGGGCAGTCACTGAGGAAACAACGCTCCCACAGGAGGTAAAAGCTGTCACCATAACATTCCTCTCTTTAGTGTCTGTAAATGGAGAAATGAAAACTATCCACACTGACTTAATTGTGAACATTCACAGCAACAGGATTCACAGCAGCCGAAAGCTTGGAAAAGCCAGAGTGTCCACGGAAGGACAAATGGGTGCCTGCAGTGTGGTCATCCACATCACAGCATCACTCAGTCATGAACAGGACACAGCTCTGGCCCACACTACAACATGGAAGGATTGTGCTCAGGGAGAGGACCAGACACAAAAGGCCACAGTGTCTGGTCCATTTCTCCATTCACAGAAAAATGTCCTGAAGAGGCAAATTCAGAGTAGGAAGTGGACCTGTGGGAGCGCAAGGCTGTGGACAGGCTGGGGAGGCGGGCACCGGGCTTTCTTTTGGGTGATGGAATGTTCTGAACTAGACAGAGGTGGAGGGTGCACAGCTCTCTGGAGATACCAAAAAGCAAAAAGGTGGATTGTTTGATATGCAAATTGCATCCCAAGAGTTTCTTTAAGTTTATACTGAGTGGAATAAATCTGTTTTCAATGGAAATGATGCAGGTTCTTCCCTGTCCAGGCCTTCACAGAGCCCTTCCACACAGCTCAGAGTACTGCAAGATCAGCCTGCCTCTCTGTGTCCTGCCCAGGGTAGCCCTGATGGTCAAGGGAGCCAGCCAATACCTGTGGGTCCCCATGCAAGACTCCTCCCAGCTCCCTCCTGACATCACACCGCACTCTCAGAGGCAGGTTGGTGGCTCCATCCATTAGAGTGAGATGGAGGCTGGGGAGCACAGGTAACTGCAATGCATGGCAGGTGGGACCCAGACCCAGACCCAGGGTGCCACACAGCACATGCCCTGCACAGCAGTGTCCCCCAAGTAGGGGTGTGGGAGTGAAGCCCTGCCCACCTGCCTTCCTCTGGAGGCCTCTCGCCAGCTAGGCTGACTGAGACCTGAGCCCCCAGCCCCATCCTGAGGCCTTACCTGGTCACCTGGGTTCGAGTGTTAAAATCCAGTGAGCGCATGGAGCGGAGAACTTCGATGCAGCCCATGTACTACAGAGAGAGAATAGAGTCAATGGGCAGAGCCCCAGCTCAGAACCCATGACCTACTCCAGGGGCTCTCCAGCCTCCTTGAGGTCACCCTGGGCCCATCCTCCCTCCCTGGACACTGCCTCAGGGGCTTCACACCTGCTGTCCTTGCTGTCCCCTCCCCCACTTGCTGCCCCCCCCCCCACATCCCAAAGTTGAACTTGCAGGTCACCCTAGGCTCTTTTGTGTCCTATTGCACTCGTTCATTTAACTGTCTGCCACTTGATTGTGATCTGTCTGCTCCATCAGAGTGTAAGATGGGGAGGACAGGCATGGAGACAATCTTGTTCATGAATCCCCAGGCCAGGCACAGGTCTGAAGGACAGTCAGGACAGAAACTCTCTGGCCAGCAAAGATGAAAACATCAATGATCAGCTCCTTTACGGGAAATTTGCTGACTCGTATCTAGGTGACCATTTCCAGAGATGATTCACAGTTTTAGAGAAGGACACAGAGGGACAAAAGAGGTAGAAACTTCAGCACAGCTCCAGCCCTGCCTCAACACTGGAAGGGGGCATGGCTGGAAATGACCGTCTCATCCTTCCAACCATACTTGGCTGACCAGAGGATGTATGGCACAGCCACATGTCTGTGGAATGTGTAGAAGAGTTGAATCCAGAGGATAGAAAGTAGACTTATGGATGCCAGAGGCTGGGGAGAGGATGAAGTGACTGCTCATGGGCACAGGGCTTCCTCAGGGTGATGAGAAAGTTCTAGAAATAGTCCTTTGTCCACTTCCTGTCAGCCCTGATGTCAACTGCTCTGCTCTGCATCCCTGTCACCATCATGTGAATTTCATTTCCCTACCATACCAACTGCCTCCCATGATGAACTAATACCCTTGAAACCATGAGCCAAAATAATTTCTCCCTTAAAAAAAGAAAAGAAAGTAAGTTCTGGAAATAGAGTTGGTGACAGCACAACCCTGTGATGGACCAAATGTCACTGAAAATAATGATTAAATTTTCTTTGTGATTTTTTCTTAAAAAGCTCATTTAATTATTCTTTTTGGGAGTCTTGCTTATTACTCATTGCCAAGGCTAGTACCAACCCCTGGGTTCAAGTGATCCTCTTGCTTCAGCCTCCCAGGTGCTGTAATGACAGATGTGTTTTGTGATTTTTATCTCAGTTTCTTAAAAACATTATAAACACACACTTTGACCCCACAATTCCAGTTTCAAGGCTTTACTCAGCCACACCAGCCCCACGCTGTGTGCGCAGGAGGCTGGTGGGGGGGGGGAGGTGTGCAGGCCTCACCCAGGGCTGGAGGCAGGTACAGGCTTAGGGGCCCTACTGCCCTGTCACCCTCTAGGGTAGCTTCCACCATCCTACTTCTGCCCACCACCACCCCCACCCCAAATCCTCCCAGCGTCAGATCTGTGAGTTGTTCCTCCCTCATTCTACTCTACACAAGTTGAGAAAACCTGGAGATACCCTAAATATAGCAGGGACAGGTCCACAGACCTGGGGTGCTAGATCCAACACAGGAAGCTTGTTACAGGTGAATTTGCAGGAGCTGGTGTGTATATAGCTCAGCAGCAGAGCACATGCCTTGCATGCTTAAAACCCTGAGTTCGATTCCCAGCAAGAAAAAGAAAAGAAAAATGGGAGAATTTGCACTAAGCAATGAAGAACTTTTAGTATAAGTATGTCCCACGTAGTACAGGAGATACCTTGGAAATTTAAATTTAACTGGCTGTCCTGAGCTTCTGCCGAAGATAAACAAGTTGAGGTATTGGGATAGAAGAGTATGCAGTTGTAAACAGAAACAAGTAATTTTTATGTATTTAGGTGCAATTATCTCCCAGGCACAGTTTTAAGTAACGAGACACAAGATAAAAGTACCATGTGGTAGCATTCCTGTAGAAGGGTGAGGAGGAGTGGGGGTGCATGCACACATGGATTAAGTAAGGTCTGGTGGGTCCCAGCAGATATCACTGGCAGATTGTGAAAATGGCAACAAGTTGTCCCTCCCTCCATCTGCCCTCAGGGGGGTCGTGTGGCTTGTTTTGTCAATAAGACATCAGTGAATGTGACACACAGAGCCTCAGAAGCACGCATACCCTAGCCGTGCCTCTGGCTGCTCTTGGGGTCTTGGATGACAAGACCCATGTCCCAGCTAACATAAGGCCACTCACCACACAAACAAAGCCAGGAAGATCACTCAGCCCTCACCAACCACAGAATCATGAGAAACAAATGTCAGTGTTTCACTGCCCCACACTGTGCAATGCTTTACCAGCAAAAACTCACTAAGGCAGCAACCAAGTGGGGAAGAGGCAGCAAGTGAGGACCTGGCAAAAGAAACAGCAAGCACAAGCAATAAGTGGGGTCCGCATGGAGAGACCAGGCTCACTGTGATGTGGCTGGAGCAAGGGGGAAAGCAACAAAGAGAGATAAGAGGAGGTGGGCCAGGAAGCCAAGCTGCTCAGCTGTTGAATGAATGGATGGGTGAGTGGATGGTGGATGGATGAATGGAAGGGTGGACTGATGAATGGGTGAATAGATGAATGGATGCATGTGTGATGAATGGATGAATGGATGGACAATGAGTAGATAGATGAATGGGTAGAGGGACAGACGGATGGATGGATGGATGGATGAGTGGATGAGTGGGTGGATGGAAGGGTGGATGGATGGATGGATAGATGGATGAGTACATGGATGAATGGGTGGACAGATGGGTGAATGGGTGAGTGGGTGGGTGGATGGATGGGTAGATGGATGAATAGATGAGTACATGGGTGAGTAAATGGATTGCATGCTTAGATGATGGACTAGCAAATTAATGGACAAGCATGGACTATATGCTAAATATGTGTCAGACTTGTAGCACCCCAAAGGGAATCACCCACGGTCCCTGCCCCCAGGACCAGAGAAAACAGCTTTGGAGAGAACTAAGCTACTCCTGGTACCTTCTTGAAACAAAGACATGTGTCTGGTGTGGGAGTTCATGCCAGTTTCTGGTGCTTCAAGGCTGTAGGGTACTGATTCTGCTGACCTGCAGACCACACTGCTCCTCATTGGCTTAAAAACAATTTGGTGGCCTCATTTTCCCTACCATGCAGTGTGGGAAACAGAAGGTGGAGCCTCTTACAAAGAGGAAAAGGATGGGAAGGTAATGGTCTTCTGGATACATAGGCAATGTCTCTTGCTGTGCCTGCCACTTCACGACCAAAAGGAAGCTAAGCCAGCCTGGTGAAAATGAACATGCAAAATGAAAGAAAGATTGTAGATGCTGCAATCTGGAATTCATCTACCTTGGAGCTACCCTGACTCTCATCCTCAGGGAAGAAGCTGCCTCTGTGGCCAGCTCTGCCAACTTCTCACTATTCCCCTGCAGATCACCAGCATAAGAACCATAGTGTAGGGGAGAAGCTACCTGACCCTTGTCATTTCAGTGACATGTGTCCAGGTCTGCATCCCTGCCCAGGTGTGGGCAGGCTGCTGTCCATCAATGTTCTGTGCTGTGAGCAGAGGTGGCCACACAAATCCTCCTCTCATAAAGAACTTGGGCTGACGTAGCAAGGGTGCTGTAGAAAGTGGAGAGCGTTTATCACTGGAGTTTTGTGTAGGGCAAAGTCCAGCCTGGTACAAGGAGGAGGACACAGGATTGGAGTCCTCAGCTTCTCCACAGCACAAGCTGCACTTCTTACAACACAGTTGCATGTAGCTCAGACACGGTCCTTCAGAGAAGCCCAGACATGAGGGATCAGTATTCAATAGAACTGAGCTGTCCAACGTGGCGCCCTGTTGCCTTGAATGGCCCCTGATATCTAACAAAAAATGCAAAATGGAAAACATAGCTACCCAGACACACGAGTCACATTGCCAGGTGACTAAGGGGCTGCCATGCTGCACAGCACAGTTATAGAAATTCTCTAGGCAGTGCGGTCCAGGAGCCACATAGCACTGGGCTGGCCAGTGAGGCTAGGAAAAGGCTGGGGACTCTGGGGTGCTGTCCTCACCATAAGGAGACCCAAGATAAGAGGACCCTTTCTGCAGAACAACCTCTGCTAGAAGAGGAAGTGACCCAGGACAGCAAGGTGCCAAGTACAGGTGCAGGGAGGGGGTCCCTAAGGTTCCACAGCTGGGTGGCTTAAAGCCACAAAATTGCACCTGTCCATAGTTCTGGGGCCAGAAGTCCAAGATCCAGGGCTGTATAGGGCTGTGCTCCCTCCAGAAGCTCCAGGGAAGGTCCTTCCTTCCTTTCCCAGGCCCTGGCATGGCCGGCAGTTCTTCAGTCCTTGCCTTGTGGCCACATCACTCCCATCTCCTCCTCTGTTATCCCTCAGCCTCCCGCCCACGTGTCTTCATGTGGCTGTCTTTCAAGGACACCGGGGAACTGGATTTAGGGTCCATCTAGAATAATCTAATCTTAACTAATTCCATCTGCAGAGTCCATTTCTAAATAAGGTCTAATTCTGAGTTCTTGATGGGGACACCATTTACCCCAGTACAGATGCCAACAACCTGGATGCATGATGAAGTCACTGAGCTACCGAATTAACCAACCTGAGCCGCCCTACCCCAACGTTGCTTCTCACAACAAGCAACAGCCTTTCAGCTCTCAGCTGCTGACGCAGCTGGCAGTGCCCAGGTGCAAGTGCCACAGTGTCAGGACTCTTAGGAGAGGCTCTGAGGATCATTCCTTGGCTTTGTTGTACCATAGTTCCTCAGAAAACCTGAGGGTGGTGCAGAGCCTCCAGCTCAGACCTCCACAAACAAGGTGCACTGAGTTGGAACCCCAGCTGGCAGCATCACACACAACTCTTGTGCCCCATCTCTTTATTCACAAACTGGGGCCACCATAGGGCCTTGTGAGGGTTCTATGACCCTAACTGTGTGTGGATTCCCAGCAGCTTAAAAAAAAAAAAAAAGTCACCACAAATTTAGGGGCTTAGACGACAAATGTATTTCCTTACTATTCTGGGGTCAGGAATCTGGCACAGGCTCTGCTGGGCTAAAATCTAGGTGGGGCAGTGTTGGTTCCCCCTGGAAGCTTCAGGGAAGACCCTCATTCCAACTACCTCAGCTCCTAGAGGCCCCACATCCTCGGCTTGTGGGTCCTTCCTCCCTCCTCAGAGCAGCAGCTCAGCATCTCCCAGTCTCTTCCTGCTTCTGCCTTTTCTGCCTTCCTTTTATGAGGACCCTGTACTGCTGAGTGGCAGAATGATCCAGTGTGATCCCCAGCTCATTTGCCAGACTTTCTAGGTAGGTGCTTTACCACTTGAGCCATTCCACCAGCCCTGTTTTGTATTGGGTTTTTTGTTTGTTTGTTTTTCAAGGTAGGGTCTTGTGAACTATTTTGCTTTGGCTGACTTTGAACCTTGATCCTCCTAATCTCTGCCTCCTGAGTAGCTAGGATTACAGGTGTGAGCCACCAGTACCAGGCCTGCAGGGTCCCTTCTGCCATGGGAGGTGATGTCCACAGGCTCTAAACTTTAGGACTTGGACATGTGGGGGTGTAAAGTTATTCTGTCAACCACACTGCTGTGTGACAAGTGTCAGTGAGTTCTGGCCCTCATGAGAGGAGTCTCAGCTCCAGATCTGGTCTTGGATTTTCACACAGCCACCTCAGACACAACTCTGCCTCTCTGTGCCTTAGTTTACCAAGCTGTATGTGGGAATGACAACCCTCTCTTGGATACAAGAGTCCTGCTCAGACCTGCTGATCCATGTATCCCTTTGCCTGTGTGACATGGAACCTGGGTACTCTCCACTTTGACTCTCTCCTTTTAAACCAGGAGGCTTGCCTGGCTTGCTATACCGGGTAGAAGCTTAGGCTGGAGACAATAGTTCTCAGGGAATAGGGCTAGGTACCAAGTCTGCTTTAGACCCCACAGGGCCTCCTGATCCCATCCATCCATCTGTAACTCCTCTGGGCTCCTTCTCCAACACCAGCAGTGTTCCCACTTCTGTCCAGCCCCAGATCCCCCTGGTCCAAGCCATTGTCCTTGCCCGAGGATGTCCCAGCTTCCTCCTGGGTCTCCTTCCTATTCTAGCCCTGCTGGAAAGATACTTTTAAAACTCCAAGCTCCACCCTTGAAAAACATTGGAGCCCATGCTTGCTTCTCAGGGTCATGCAGCTTAGTCCTCCCCAATCCCTCCAGCCACATGCATCTCCAGTTACTAGCAAGTGCCAGATTCACTTCCTGACACACGGCCTTTGCACTGGCTGTACCTGCTTAAATGTCACTGAGAGATGACTTTCCAAACACTGCAGCTCAAGTGGTCATCCATCTCGCTGACATCACACAATTCCACCATCAAATAGCCCCTACGAGGACCTACAATTTTCCCATTTATTTGTCTTCTTGTTTATTTATTAGACAATCAAAGCTCCCTAAGGACAGGGACTAGATCTTTCTTGAATTCTCCACATCATCAGTACCTGACAGGGGTAAGCATACATTAAATATTTCCTATATCGACACAAAGTGTTACACATTATAACCCAACACTAGGAACCCAAACTGAGTATCTGAATTCTGAACAGCATATATCTATCTGCCAGATGTGACGTGCCCTCTGATGGAAATAGTGTGAAAGGGAGCCCACAGCATCATCCATGAGACATTCTTGTAACACCTGGTTCCAGCCAAACCTGAAGAGCCACAGGGCCACAGAAGAGTGTGGAAGGGCAAACTAAACCCAAAACGCAGGGCACCATCTGCAGAGGGATATCCAGCCCCTATGTCCAGACAGACGTCAGAGCCACAAGCCACTTCTGAATGCACAGGTCTGGCTGGCCCTGGAGATCTGAGGGTCCCAGGGACTCGATGCCACAGCCTGGACCACAGATGAATGCCTGCAACATTCCCACAGGGGTGGGAAAGGCTTACCATTTCCCTCAGGCTATGGAAACAAAGTACCATGGTGGCTTAAAACAACAGAAGTTTATTCTTTCTCAGTTCTGTGGGCCTGAAGTCTGAGATCCAGGTCTATGCAGTATTTCCTCCAGGGGAGGCTCTCTCTGCCTCTCCCAATGTCTGGGGATCTTCAGTGGTCCAGCAGTCTTCAGTGGTCTTTGGCTGTAGTCTTGTCCATCATTCCCACTTCTGCCTCTATCTTATATTGGTCTCTGTGTGTCTCTGTCCAAATTTCCCTCCCTCATAAAGACACCAGTCATTGCTTTAGGACACACCCCAATGCTGTGGGCCCTCATCTTAACTTCATGACATCTTACTTATTACTACAAAGTAAGATCCCATTCTCAGATTCCTAATGCACATGCAACCTGGGGCACTATTCAAAAGACAGTGTAAGTGATGCCAGGGACTGTTCTAGAGAAAGCGAGCATCCTTGGTCTCCATATGCCAAACATGCACTCCCAGAATCCTGGTCCAGGACAGTCAGGGAGAAGGGGACACTGCCCCATGTCCAACCGTATTCCAAAACCGCTGATCGTTTCATAAACTGTGGCGTACAAGACACCAGGTGGGATGTCTGAGGGTGAGCGTCAAAAGGTTTATCACAAACTATACACATACAGGGACAAGCACATTGTGCAAGGAAGGCAACACGTCCACAGTGCCGGAGGAAATGCGGGGTCCATCGCCCCACCCTCCTGTGTTTTCAAAGGTTCATAGTAAAATCTCAGATAAATAAAGGTCAGTGTCTTGTGCACTTCCGAGGCCCTGTAGTCTCATTCTGGAACCCCAGGTCTGGGCAGCCCCACCTCGAACCGAAGTCTCTCGGCAGGTCCCCACTGGGTCATCTGCGACGGAGTTTTTCATGGGGTTCGGATGTCAGGACTTCCCAGCCAGGTCCTCCTCTAGATTCTACCATCCAACAGCAGTAGGGGATACTTAACCTGCGCATGCGTGCCCCCCCCAACCTGCCACCCTCTCCCCGCCCCTCCCCACGTGACGCTGTGGGAACCGACCCCAGAGCTTCGGGGTGGGGGCAGCCGCGAAGCACTGGCTGGAGATGGGGGGTCCCAAGTGGGGAGAAGAAGAAGACAGGTGGAGATCGAACACCCTGGCTCTTGGTGTCTGGGATCCCAGAGAGAAAATGGGAGAGACCCAGACCCCAGGACTGGGGACAGACCCGGGGATCCCCCGGCGCACTCACCCGAACGATGTAGGAGACCCCAGGACCCAGGACCCTGGCGTCGGGGTGCAGCCAGCCGTGCGCCGGCTTGTGGATGAAGCCGCCCTTGCGCGCCCACTCGTCGGCCGCGGCGTCTGGGGGCCCAGCCGTCCCCCGCGCGCCCCGCGTTCCGCGCGCCCCCGCGGCCCGGCAGCGGCTGAGTGCAGACAGCGGACAGGGCGCGGCGCAACGCGGCTCGCAGGCGCCCAACACCGCGGCTGCCAGAGCGGGGACCCCCGCCGGGCCCGCGGGCTCGGGCTGGGGGTCAGCCGCGCGCGCAGCCGCCGGGCCGCGGCCCAGGAAGCCGGCGGGCGCCGCGAACTTCCACTGCGGCATGCGCGGCAGTAGCGCGCAGAAGGTGGTGGGCGCCTCGGGCTCGGGGGCGCGGGGGCGCGCGCCCGCCCGGACCCTGCGTCATGGCCGCGGCCGCCGGACCGAGCCGACCCGGCTGCGCCTGGTGCGGAGGCGGCCTTGGCTCCCGCCCGCTCCTCCCCGCCCGGCCGGTGATGTCACCGCCCGGCCCAGCGCGCAGCCGCGGGGGGCTGCGCCCCTGGGACCCTGGCCCTCGGCGTCCTGGCGCCTGGAGAGGGCCGGGGCGACCGAGGCTCACTGAGGCACGCGCGCTGACTGGGAAGCCGCGGCCAGGGAGAGGGGAGGTTTCGCATCCAAGACCCAGCGCGACCCCGCCCACCGCCCAAGTTCCCAGAAGGGCAGAACTGGAAGGGGCTTCAAAACCACCCTGAGACTGACAGGGAAACTGAGGCCTGTGGAGGAGCGCAGGTCCATCAGGAACAAAGAGAACCCCTACCCCTGAGGCCGGCCTCATCCTCACCACTGCTCAACCACATTGTGCCCTACTTTATTTCTGAATAGGGAAACTGAGGACTGGGAAGGAAGGGTGTATCCCGTGCACAATGGGGAGGCTCGGTCGGCCGTACAGGATCGGGCTGGCTCTAAAAGGTGTCTCTGAGAGCCAGTTGTGGGCCTCCTTGGCTCGCTGTCCCTGGCCTCAGTTCTCCAGCCTGTAAGCCATGAGCTGAGCTGGAGGGCCCCTTCCTTTCCGTTTCTGGGGTCCCTGTCTGGCACTCGCTTGTCTGAACCCGGTCCTCAGCTCTCCAAGCCTGAAGTCCACCCTATCTCAGCTTCAAAGGCCCTCGGAGACCGTCCTGCCCTACTCCCACACCAAGGGGAAATCAATGGGGGTGTAATGGTCACCCCGCGAGCCAGACCCCCTGCATCGGTGTCCGCCCTGCCCTGGCAAGCAGACTGCAAGGAAACAAAGGAGGGGCTGGGCTGGGCAGGCAGGGAGGAAGGGAGAGGCGAGAGGATCGATAATCGGAGAAATGAGATCACAGGCTCCGGGTAGGAAGGAAGGGGGAAGGGCGCCCTGCTCAATTGGCCTCCTGATGCTGCGGTGCCAAGTCACCAGCTGCGCGGTGGAGGAGCTGGTTCCTGGGAGAGACAGCATGGCGTCCACTTTGGGGACAACTGTGGCTGGGGCTGGAGCCCACGTGGGCTTGTGTTGGTTTCTCCCGTGGCTGTGGGGGTTTAGTTTGTATGGGTACTGTGTGCAGGTGTGGACTGTGTGTCCCAGGTTAGTAACTCCGTGGAGAGTTTGTAGGGGCCAGTGCCTGCACCTTGGCAAACAAGAGGGTTTAGTCACACAACACTATCAGTGTTTCCTTACTGTCCCCAGGAAAGAGTGGCAGGAATAGAGCCCATCGGCCAAGGTTGAAATCCTGCATGGACTGACAAGGAGCCCTTCGTGTGCCCCTAGATAGGTGGACAGGCCTCCCATCTCTCTGAAGCTGTTCCTCTGGGTTAACACCATCTGCCTCCTGAGATTCAATTAAGTCCAGAGGATCTTTATCAATATCTGGAATGTGGTCGGCATCACTGACCCAAAACATCAAACTCCTCTACATCCTTCAAAACCCAACTTCCAAGTTCCCTCTTCTAGGACTCCTACTTGGCTTCCACTCAAAATCTTGGCTCCACCTCTGACCTCCCCTAGCCTAGATCCCTCATCTGGGCCTGGAAGGCAGTGTTCAGATCTCCTTTCTGTGGCATGAGTAGAGACATTAAATGAAGCCCCGTGCATGGTGCTGACAGCTCTGGTGCTGAGGAAAGATTTATTGGTAAGCAACTCTAGAGAATGAAGCGGGGAAGGCAGGGGCCTTGGGTCTGTCTCCAGCCAAGATGAGCAGCTGAAACTTCCATGAGAAGCAGGAACCAACTGAAGTTTGGCAGAAACTCGAGCTGTTCAGAGGACCTAGGCCCTAATGAGGCCAGACTCTGAGTTCTAGGACACTGGCAGCTCCATCTCCAGCCAGGAAAAGGGACACTTTTCCCTGCCTGGGCTGGCCTGGCATGACCGGTGGAGAAGAAACTGGGGCTCTGGAAGATTTACCCTACACCCTGCACAGGGCCTCGGCTCACAGCCCCCAGAGACCAGAGGGATCAGGTGGCCTGAAAAGACCTCAGACTGCAGAAGAGGGGAGGGAGGAGGTTCCTGCCTGTGCCCTCTGGCTCCTCTAAGCCTCCTCTGCACACACCCCTCTTCCCCACACAGGAAATGGGACCAGGGAGGGGGCCTGGTGGCCGGGACCCTGCAGCTGTTAGGGTGTGGTGTCTGCAGCCATGGTGGCCGCCCGCTTTGAGTGGCGAATGCCCATGGTGTATGCTGGGGCCCTGGCCCTGTTTACGGTAACATGCTCAGGGTTGTGGGTACCAGGGCCAGGTGTCTCCTCCAGGGGCCTTGGGGCACGGGGCCGCCCCAGCATGGTGAAAGCTGGCCGACGCTGCCGGTAGGTATTGGGGTCTGTGCTGTCGTACTGGCCAGGTCCTGGCATCTCTGCAGGATCCTGTAAGGGACGTGCAGGGGGTGTGCGGCCCACCACCGTGTAGCTGGGGCTGCTGGGCTTGACAAAGATCTGTGAGCCCCAGAGGGACGGCATGGTGTAGGCATTGGGGCAGGAGCGGAGGTGTCCAGGGACTTCAGGCGGAAGCGGGAGCCCAGGGTGAAAGCTGGCGGGTTCCGCTGGCGCACAGGGTGCACCTTCTCTGGGCTGTAGGTCCCAGGACCTGGTGTCACTTCCAGACCTGTGAGAGTAGACTGAGAGTTGGCACAAGATAGAGGCCTCACCTGCTCAAAAACCTTACATGGCTCCCCACTGCCCATCTGCACCCTAGAGTTCACACATGAATCACACAGCATAGGGTGTCTCTCCCCTCCCAATTCTCTACACACAATCTATTCCCCAAACCTGCAGGCCTTTGCCCATGTACTTCCTCCCCAGAGCAATTTGTCCCCCCAGCCCTCAACCATGCCTTCCTGCTGTCTCCCCATACCCTTTCGAGCAGAGCCTTCACAGTCCTCCTGGGACCCCTGTCCCAGGTCTTCCTCTCTGCAGACCTGACCACCCTGAGGACAGTTCCAACCTGGCCCTGAGTTCACCACAGAGCTCACAGAGAGCAAGGAAGCATCAAATCTGCTTCCTCTCCCCAGCTGCTGCCTCAATGCCTTTGTGTGACTGACCAGTGGATGAGCAAGCAGTTGCGGCGGAGTGGACAGGTGGGTAAGCAGACCCATGAATGAATGCATCAGTTGGTGAATGGAGGGAAGGAAGGACCGATGGATGAGTGGGTAGATGTGTTTATGGGTGAGAGGATGGGTGAGTGGATGAATGGATGGATGAGTAGATGGGTGGGTGGATGGGTGGGTGGGTGGTAGGGGCAGATGGATGGAAAATGGGTGGGTGGACAGATGGAATTATTGTGGATGCATTCTCTGAGTACGTGGTGGATATAGTGATGGAAGGATATAAAGTGGATGGGTTGAAGGATGGATAATGGAATAATGTATCGATAAATGGATGACTGACAGGTGCATGGGTGGAGGTTGATGAGCAGGTGGATGGGCAAATGGATGAGTCACAGAGTCAGTGGTGGATGAGAAGGTGGTAGTAGGTCAGAAGATGCAAATGTGGGTGGGTGGAAAATGGAGTCAGGTGATGGCCCAGGCTGAGCAAGCTTCTCAGGGGCCCCTGAAGGGGATGGTTGCAGGCTGCTAGAGCCCCTACACCGTGGTCTCCTGATGCTAGGACAAGCCTGCTGCCCTCTAGCCCCCACATGTTCTGGGGTCACTTTGCCACCCAGGTTCTCCCTGGGCCACATGGGCTCTGAAGTTTTGGCTCTCCCTCTGAGTCCCATGGGTTTAAACATTCCAATGACACCAAAGTTCTCAGAACTCTAAGGATAGGGGGTGGGGAGAGAAACAATATCCCTGAGACCCTGAGAGGCAGATCTCCATGACAGTCCAGGTCCATACTCACCATGAGGCTTGCCCCGGCCTTGCATGGAGTAGGCAGGAGGACAGCTGCGGCCAAACCGGGTGACTTTTGGATCCAAAAAGTAGATAGGCCCTGGGCTGGTATCCTGAAGAGGTGCTGAGGAGAGGAGCCCAGAGTCCTGAAGGTGTCCCTGAAAGATGTCCATCTCATACCCAGTGTTGAGCCCCAGAATAGCCAGATACATGTCCCCAATCTGGGGATCTGTGACTGTGGAGGCACTGAGGCATGTGGCCCAGAACAGGGTGGCATGGTCTCCCTGACTATCTCACTGAGCTCCTGTATCTCTGCATTCAGGCCACCCATTTGTGCTTCTGCTCCACTGCTGCCCCTCATCCTTCTGTCTTTCTGTGCATCGCATGAGGGAACTGAGGTAAAGTCAAGGTGACAAGGTGCCAAGAAGCCTGAAAAGCAGAAATATGGTTGATGGGCTTCATATAGATACATGCAATAGAACAATGAAACCTCTTGCAACTGCTTTAAGTGGGGTAGGGAGGGGGTTGTGGGGCAGGGGAGATGGGGGAGGCAATGATCTCTCCTGTACAATGAGTATATGCTAATAAAAATGAAAAAAAGAAATAAAGAAATTATGGGGAAAAGTTTTCTTTAAAAAAAAAAAAAAAGACCTCCAGAGCTTGGCCTTGGAGCATGGCTAAGAGAGGACAGTGTCAATGCCAGCAGGGCTTCTTAGGAGCTTGTGACTCTGGATAAGCTGCTCAGCCTGTCTGAGTCACACTGACTCTGTGCCTTGGTGAGCACCTGGGTGCATATAGATGCCATCCAGATGTGGAATCTGGGTACCGCCACACAGCCCTAGTGTTTGCACATGCAGGGGCATCCATCTGAGGGTGGTCACTGATATGGAATGGTGGTCCCCCAGCCTGGTCCCAGCCCCCCATTAAATTAATGGGTTCTGTTCTTGGCCACTCCCCCAGCAAGTCACCCCATGAGGGAGGCACTGTCAGTGCCACGTTGTTCAGAAGTGGAAACTGTGGTTCAAAGCCCTCCCCAGCAAGAACACAGCAAACAGGATTCAGTGTGCTCAGCCTCTGCCCTGTACCTGCAAATGTCCCGGCCTGTTCTCCTACCTCCTACCCCTAAAGGTGATAAATTGGCTCATCCCCACCCACAGGAACACGTCCACCTGTGCTGAAGGCTCTACCCAGAGCTCCACTGAACTCCTGCTCATCCTACAGATTCCTGATTTCATGTCTTCTCCCAGTCTACCCCAGGCCTTCAGCAACGCACTTACTACCCCTTCCACTTGAGTCCTGTGCCTCTGTCCCAGGAAGTGTCTTGAGACCAGGATTTGAGCCTGGGGACACAGTTCTTCCTGGCCATAGCTAAGTCCTTACCCCTCCCATGTTTCACTCTCTGTTTTATGACAGACATGACATAGTGACTATCAACAGCCTCCTGGGACCCAGTCCTGTCTCAGCTCCCCTGAGGATTTTTTGAACCCTGGGGACTGACAAAGCTTCACCCTAGCATCCTCTGGCCTCCTGTCTCACAAACTCCGGTCACACATCTGGCTTACCCATGCCAGATGCTAATCCTGCCACACAGCTGTAGAAATTGGGGTGACAAGACACGTGAACGCTGAAACAGCATCACAGGTGTGAGATGCCTGCAGTGAGCAGTCCAGCAGCCCTGCCTGCTGCACAGCAAAGTGAGTTTACTACATTCACAACCACAGTAGTGGAGAAACTGAGGCCCACTTTTATTGAGCACATACTGGATACCAGGCACTGTTGTAGCTACTTTTCAAGGCATTTAATCCTCACAGAATAAGTCTCCTGTCCTTACAATAGCTCTGTAAGGACTACATTCTTATTATGAACATTGTTATTAACATTTATCAGTGGTGGAAACTGAGGCACAAAGTAGTTAAGCAATTTGCCCAAAACCAAGCATCAAGGAATCATAAAACACAGGTCTTCGCCAGGATGTACCCTTTCTCCTTTCATTCTATTTATCAATAAGAAAACAGGATCAGAGAGGGCAACTGCTTGCCTGAGGTCACATAGCAAGTGGGAGGTAGTGTAGCCCTGCCTATTTCCTGCCTTGCTCCTTTACGGTCCTGGATCTGAGAGGTGAGAAGGCCCAAACATGTTCCCAGGGGATTCCAGAGGATGGGGAGACCCCCAGAACCCTTGCCCCACCCCCCAACATGGCCTTACCTTCACTGGGCCTGCGGGTGAGTGAGTAGGCAGGACTGGCTGCCTTGGTGCAATCATGGTTGATGTAGCCAACAGTAGATGGAAGAACATACAAGCCGGGTCCAGAGCCTGTTACCCAGAGCCCAGGTCATGGCCATTGCTGAGAATCAGAGAGACTGGAGAAAGGAACCTGGAGCCAATGCCTGAACCCCACCTGGAGACCCACCTACCATGGCAGGGTGGAGGAGAGTGGGTTGCCTCCCTAGGGGACAGGGTGATGCCTGCATTGTGAGCCCATCATGAATCACAGAGTGAGACAGAGCTGGGGACCAGCAGCTGCCTCCTGAAGGAAAAGGAGGACAAGGCAGAGAAACACCATCACAAGTGGGGAAACTGAAGTCGGCATAGAGACACTGTCCCAGTTAGGGAAACTGAGGTCATGATGCTGGCTATAGAACCTGGCATAGAGCTGCCACCTGCTGTTGGTCATAGATGGGGAAACTGAGGCAAGGGCTGTAGCCCCAGTTCTCACAGTTAATATCTATCCCACACTGAGCAGTCAGAATGACCCCTTCACATTCATCCCACTGGTGCTGCTTGTTGGTTTCCAGGCACCAGCCCCCCATCACTGCCCTGCGCCCTCCAGGCTGCCTCCCACAGGACTTGTGCTGCTTGGTCAGAACCTGGCCATGTGCAGGGCCAACAGAGACCCTGCACTCAGCCCACCCTGCCAGGAGGCAGACTCAACTTAGAGAAAGACAGGGACCTTCCTGCAGCTCCCACCTCCTGCCAGGCTCCAGAACATTCCAGGGGCCCCAGTGAGGGGACAGAAAGTATACCACCCATGCCCCCCAGGCCAGCACACACCGTTCTCCAGGGTGGCCATCCTACAGGACTTCCTGAGGCCAGTCTCCGGAATGTGGCCCTCAGCCACCCTCTGGGCCAGGGTTGCTGTGGCCAGCTGTGCAGCAGGGTCGCAGCTGAGGGTCCCCATGATGAGCAGAGAGCTTGGTGCTGACTCCTCTGCCACTACTCTGGCACCACAGGCCAGGCACTGTCCCCAATCCTCACAACTCAGCCGGTGCTGGCAGAGCCCTGGCCTCACCACACCCTCCCAGAACTGTACAGACGGCCCTTGTGCCTCTGAACTGATCTCAGGGCTCTGGCCTGAGCCAGGCTGGTTGGCCGGACACTGGCCTGGAAGGGGAGCTGAGATTGAGTGTCGACTAGGTGGCCGGATGGTTTAGGAAAGAATCTGGTGTCAGCAGAGCAGGTCCCAGGGAGCCAGCCAAGCTGGGTGGTGGGGCCAGAGCCCCAGGGAGCCGGTCTGCAAACCTGACACCCACAGTAGCAGCAGCGACAGGCGTGGCCCCATTTCCACAGCAGCCCAAAGTCAAGTCCACAGTTTGGTGGAGAAGTGTTCACTCCTCTAACACTTACTGAACACCACTGTGCGCCAGGCTCTGTTGGGGGTGGTGGGGACAGGACAGGGACAGACAAGCAAGGGCCTGATGTTCTTGGATGGAAGAAAATATGAACAATAAATGTGATCAATGAATATATCGTGCAGTACATTAGAAGGTGTTAAGCGTGGTGCAAACAGAGCTGGCTTAGGGTCTGAAAGACATGTAGGTGCCTGGTGAACCTGGCCAAGCCAGGTGGAGAAAGTGAGATTTGAGCACGCCAAAAAGGAGGGAAGTGGAGGCAGGGAGAGCATTTCAGGTTGAAAGGACATTTGTGCAAACTGGCCCTGGGGCAGGGATAAGGATAGAAAAAGGGGCACCCCATCTGGCTCCAGGAGCCCAGCATAATCCTATGTTAAGCCTTTGCTGTAAGGCTACCACTGTATCAAATCCAGAAAGGATTTGGGGCAAGTTTGCTGGATGAAATTCAGATTGCAGCCTCAGCCTCTTCCATCATGTCCTTATTTGTTTCTGCAATGCTGGACCCTTTCTATAGACAAGGTTTAACAACTGTATTCAAATACAATTCACATGCCTTGCAATTTGATGTACTATGTAACTTTTAAATCAAAATGTGATAGTCTATGCAAAAGATCCTAGAACTGCCAGGTGCTGGTGGCTCACACCTTATAATCCTAGCTTCTTAGAAGGTAGAGAGCTGGAGGATGCAGTTCGAAGCCAGCCCAGGCAAATAGTACAAGAGACCCTATCCTGAAAATACCCAGCACAAATAAAGGGCCAGTGAAGTGGCTTAAGTGGTAGAGTGCCTCCTAACAAGTGTGAGGCCCTCAGTTCAAACCTGAGTACCACCAGGGTGGGAAAAAAATCCTAGAACAGTCAGTTGGGGATTTAGCTCAGTGGTAGGATACTTATCTAGCATACACGAGGCCCTGGGTTCAACCCACTACCACAAAAATAAACAAAAAGTCCCAATAAACATCAAAACTTGAGCTTACAGAGTATATTTACCTGATGATGAAAGAAGTAAGTGGAGATCACTAACAATGAGATTGTCTCCCCAAAATATTTGGAAATTAAACAACATACTTTTATGGCAGTATGGTAGTACTGGAGTTTGAACTCAGGTCCTCAGACCTGCTAGGCAGGTGCTCTACCATTTGAGCCATGCCTCCAGCCCTAAACAACACAGTTCTAAATAACCCAAATATCAAAGAAGAGTGAGAACAAGGGAAGTTAGTAAAATTTCAAACTAAATGGTTATGAAAACAACATATCAGAATGTGTGGAGTGCAGCTAAAGCTGTGCTTTAAGGGAAAACAGTAGCCTGAAATGTGGACATTAGAAAAGAAGGAAAGGTCTTGACATTGTGGCTTAGGTTTGCATCCACACAGCTAGAAAAAGGAGTAAATATTGAAAGAAGGTCTTAAAGGAAACAGTAGAAATTCATGAAATAGACCATGCTTGGTGGCTCAAGCCTGTAATCCTAGCTACTCAGGGATTGGGTAGCTAGGTAGAGATTGGGAGGGTTATGGTTCAAGGCCAGCAGTCTCAACCAATGGCTGGGCACAGTGGTATGTACCTATCATTCCAGCTGCTGTGCAAAGCACAGATAGGAGCATCATGGAATAAAGCGCGGGACCCTCTCAAAAACAGGCAAAGCAAAAGGGGCTGGGGTGTGGCTCAAGTGGTGAGCACCTGCCTAGCAGGTTTGAGGCCCTGATTTCAACTCCTAGTACTGCCCAAAAAAATTAATAAGATAGAAAACTACGGCTGAGGGCATGGCTTAGGTGACAGAGTGCTTGCACAGCAAGCATAAGGCCCTGCGTTCAAACCCCAGCACCACCAAAAAAAAAAAAGATAAAATAGAAAACTACAGAACTAACAAAGCTCTTGCCCTAAAAGAGCTGCTCCTTTAAAAAGTAGGATAGAATTCCCTCTAAATCAGGAACCAGACAAGGATGCCCACTATCTCCACTCCTATTCAACATAGTACTGGAATCCTACCAGAGCAATTAGGCAAGAAGAAGGAATAAAAGGAATACAAATAGGTAAAGAAACTGTCAAAATATCCCTATTTGCAGACGACATGATCCTATACCGTTAAAGACCCAAAAACTCTACTCAGAAGCTTCTAGACATCATCAATAGCTATAGCAAGGTAGCAGGATATAAAATCAACATAGAAAAATCATTAGCATTTCTATACACTAACAATGAGGCAAACGGAAAAAGAATGTATGAAAACAATTCCATTACAATAGCCTCAAAAAAATCAAATACCTAGGTGTAAACCTAACAAAAGATGTGAAAGACCTCTACAAGGAAAACTATACACTTCTGAAGAAAAGTGTTTGAGGAAGACTATAGAAAGTGGGAGATCTCCCATGCTCATGGATTGGTAGAATCAACATAGTAAAAATGTCGATACTCCCAAAAGTCATCTACATGTTTAATGCAATTCCCATCAAAATTCCAATGACATTCATTAAAGAGATTGAAAAATCTACTGTTAAATTTATATGGAAACATAAGAGGCCACGAATAGCCAAGGCAATACTCAGTCAAAAGAACAATGCAGGAGGTATCACAATACCTGACTTCAAACTATATTACAAAGCAATAACAATAAAAACAGCATGGTACTGGCACAAAAACAGACATGAAGACCAGTGGAACAGAATAGAGGACCCAGATATGAAGCCACACAACTATAACCAATCTTTGACAAAGGAGCTAAAAATATACAATGGAGAAATAGCAGCCTCTTCAACAAAAACTGCTGGGAAAACTGGTTAGCAGTCTGCAAAAAACTGAAACTAGATCCATGTATATCACCCTATACCAAGATTAACTCAAAATGGATCAAGAATCTTAATATCAGACCCCAAACTCTTAAGTTGATACAGGAAAGAGTGTAAAATACTCTGGAGTTAGTAGGTATAGGTAAGAACTTTCTCAATGAAACCCCAGCAGCACAGCAACTAAGAGATAGCATAGATAAATGGGACCTCATAAAACTAAAAAGCTTCTGTTCATCAAAAGAATGGTCTCTAAACTGAAGAGTACACCCACAGAGTGGGAGAAAATATTTGCCAACTATACATCAGACAAAGGACTGATAACCAGAATATACAGGGAACTTAAAAAACTAAATTCTCCCAAAACTAATGAACCAATAAAGAAATGGGCAAGTGAACTAAACAGAACTTTCTCAAAAGAAGAAATTCAAATGGCCAAAAACACATGAAAAAATGCTCACCATCTCTAGCAATAAAGGAAATGCAAATTAAAACCACGCTAAGATTCCACCTCACCCCTGTTAGAATAGCCATCATCAGCAACACCACCAACAACAGGTGTTGGCGAGGATGCGGGGAAAAAGGAACCCTCTTACACTGTTGGTGGGAATGTAACTAGTACAACCACTCTGGAAAAAAATTTGGAGGCTACTTAAAAAGCTAGACATCGATCTACCATTTGATCCAGCAATACCACTCTTGGGATATACCCAAAAGAGACTGTTACTCCAGAGGCACCTGCACCCATGTTTATTGCGGCACTATTCACAATAGCCAAGTTATGGAAACAGCCAAGATGCCCCACCACTGACGAATGGATTAAAAAATGTGGTATCTATACACAATGGAATTTTATGCAGCCATGAAGAAGAACGAAATGTTATCATTCGCTGGTAAATGGATGGAATTGGAGAACATCATTCTGAGTGAGGTTAGCCTGGCCCAAAAGACCAAAAATCGTATGTTCTCCCTCATATGTGGACATTAGATCAAGGGCAAACACAACAAGGGGATTGGACTATGAGCACATGATAAAAGCGAGAGCACACAAGGAGGGGTGAGGATAGGTAAGACACCTAAAAAACTAGCTAGCATTTGTTGCCCTTAACGCAGAGAAACTAAAGCAGATACCTTAAAAGCAACTGAGGCCAATAGGAAAAGGGGACCAGGAACTAGAGAAAAGGTTAGATCAAAAAGAATTAACCTAGAAGGTAACACCCACGCACAGGAAATCAATGTGAGTCAATGCCCTGTATAGCTATCCTTATCTCAACCAGCAAAAACCCTTGTTCCTTCCTTATTGCTTATACTCTCTCTACAACAAAATTAGAAATAAGGGCAAAATAGTTTCTGCTGGGTATTGAGGGGGGGGAGAGGGAGGGGGCGGAGTGGGTGGTAAGGGAGGGGATGGGGGCAGGGGGGAGAAATGAACCAAGCCTTGTATGCACATATGAATAATAAAAGAAAAAAATAATAAAAAAAAAAAAAAAAATAAAAAGTAGGATAGATTTGATCAATCTCTAGGTATACTAACCAAGAAAAAATTAAGGAGGTATGGACCACCATACGGAATGAAAGTGGACATGGCCATAGACCTCACCCACATTCCTGTTCCCTTGTACACTGGGACGGCTTTTATTGAGGTCTCGCGATGTCCCTCTGCTACCTTGCAGCACTCAGCATCTTGTGCACTTCATCCTAAGTAGCACAGTATCTCATTCAGGAAATTGCTGTTGCAAGGTCTTCTGCTGTTACAGATGGGGAAACTGAGT